TGGTGAAGGACTTACTTATTCAGTTTGACCCGCTCTATCTCTACACGACAGTTGGGCCGCGAAATTTGGGACACCCTGTATATATATATATGATAAAAATTATTTTTAAAAATCCATGTTTTATTTGATATGTTTCAATTACAAATAAAATTTTAAAAAATTTTCTTTTCTCTTTTATTTTCTTTCTCGCTTTCTCTTTCTTTTTCCTTTCCTCGCTTCTTTTTTTCTATAAAAATCAACTAAAAATAGATATCTGTCGATATCTGAAAGCAAATGACATAGAGATTATCGTTTTTGATAAGTTTTATTTGAACCAGTGGAATGGAATTTGTTTGCGGAGTCACGTTTACAGCAAAAAGCTCAGCGGACGGAGTTTTTTGTTTATATCTTCTGAAAAAAAGTTCAAAATTGTGTCTAAAACATTTTTTTAATATTAATTAATGATGGCTAATATTTTTAGTTTTTGTGCTACAATAGTCGCGCTTCTGGTATTTTTTGCTTTTTTCATTAATGTTTATAACATTTTTTAAAATTTTGTAAAGTAGTCGCACTGTTTTTGGTACGTTGATCCACACAGCATGCATATCTATGTTCACAGGACATCCCGAAGATATCGTATCTCTCAAAAATATCTTCAAGATGTTTTTTAGACGTTTCGATATGCGTGCTGTGTGAGGATACAAGAATCAGATTGATATAAAGATGTACAATGAAATTAATGCTATAAGAATCTTACTTTAATCTGAAAAAAAATTTTTTTTTTGATAAACCAGCAAAATTTTTTATTAACAAAATAATTACACTTATTTGTTATGCTCTTGGATTACAAGACACTAAACGTGATCATAGTTTTTTTGTGCTAACGTATATGCTCTGGGCTTTGGTGTATCAACGTCAGTACTATCTCTTATTTGGAAGATTTTGGAATTTTACGATAATTTGATAATTGTGTAAAATAACATTTTATTAATAAAATTTAAATATTTTTGGTTGGGACCTCCCCAAGGCTCACTACAATATATTATATATAAAAGATCAACAAATTTCTAAATTTCTAATGTTTGTTATACGAAACACTTTAATAAGCGTAATAATAATTTCTTATGAATGCTTTAAATATTCCAAAATATCTAATATTTTATACAAAAAAATATAATGTATTATGTATCAAATATAAAATTATTAAAATTATTATTACATATTTATTGCCTTCTTTAAGTCTATTAGAAATTAGAATAATCATTAGTTATTATTAAATGTTGGAAGATAAGTAATGTACAGATTTCTTTGGAAATATTACCTTATCTATTGTTTAATACGATACTATACCAACAATCTTATAATATCCACGGTCGCATTTACCATAAGACGCATTAGGCGCAAGCTGGAGCCTCATATTAAAAACTTTCAGATAACTTACCCTCCTCACAAATAACAATATAAAAAACAGCCTAGTTATAGTTGCAAAATAAAATACTTACTTTTAAATATTAAATTCATAATATAAAAACTAAAGGCCACTGAAAAATTTGTAAGCGGTAATTGTTTATTAAATTTCGCCTTTTTGCATTATGTAATGCATGTTGAATTTTATTTTCAATAAACTTAAAAAAAATAAGTATAAATTTGATTAACTGAAATAGACTTGTTGTTCTTTTGAGGCCTCATAATGATGTTGCGCCTAGGGCCAAAAATATAAATGTGGCCCTGATAATGTCATTAATGATGTGATGACATTAAAAGTTAAAAATTGTATTTTAAGTATTTTTACAGAAATTGGTATTGTCTGTAAAATAGAATCGATATATCTCAAACAGTGGAATTTATAATCAATCAGAATAGACTAGAATCAGACAAAAAATAAATAAATGAACAGAATCATACATATATCTCTGAAACAAAACGAAAACAAAGCTTCAGAGATAATATTGTCGCTGACAACAGTTCCTAAATGATAATATTAATGATTGGAAACCGGTAGTTGCTGATAATAAAACGAAGTCGACAACACTTTTATGTTAAATTGGAAGCTGCTACTCAGATAGTTAATTGTTTAATCTATTGTTTACAGTTAGAAAAAAGAAAGAAATGCTAAATGTAATTTAGAAAAAATTAAAAACTATATATAACTTTATATATATTTAAAAAGATATTTTGCGCAATTTTTGATGTTTCTATACCTTAAGTTTTCATGCAATATTTTATACCATCTATACTTTACTTTATTTTTAAACATTATAAAAGTTTTTTCAATCTAAATCGGATTGTTAAAAAAACAATAATTTAAAGAAATATTAATAATATTTTAATATTAAATAAAAAGTCATACATAGAATTATATATAAATTTGCGTTTTGTCACATATACATTTAAAAAATTTAAATAAATTTTTATCAAAGAAGAATGTTAATCTTATCAATTCTTTTTACTAGCCAGTTCAGTAATTGTCACTTATCACAATTATATCATATTAATTTGGAACTCATACTTCTGACATGTCATCGGACATAACAAAAACCATGTGCAAAACTTTAAAACTGAATAATCAATATAAATATTTACTAATCAGCAATTTAATAAATTAATATTAATTATTAGTAACAAAATTGTATAAGGAATAGCACAAATATATTTTTATTTTTAATTTTAGAATTTAAAAAATTGCTGTGTTATTTAACGACATTTTAAGAACGATTTTATATAATTATGTACGGGTATTCTATGACAGAATTTATCGAGATTCAAAAGTTTATATCAGATACGCTTGTGTAGTTTATGATAACAGTAAAATATTTACTTTTGAGTTCCCCATGTGAAATTACAAGGAATCAACCAGAGTCGGACGCCTCTCCGTACCAGAAGGCGAATGATGACAGAGAGATGACGTCCGCGATAAGTTGAACTGGTCGGGTGGGGCCTTATTCGTTGAGTCTCGCTCTCGCGTCCACAGCGTCTCAGTCTGGTGGCAGACATAAAACGGAGTTGTAGTAGAAAGTAGGTCCTCGAAGAAGAATTCCAGGGCCTATTCTCGCGCGAGCCCACGTCCAACAATGTTCAACGAACAATAAATTTAATGTGCAAAAATGTGAATACTTGTTAAATGTGCCAGAAATAAAAATGTTGCTGCACTACACACGTCTCCGTATTCTAGTGCTCGTCGTTCTCGCGCTCTTGCAAGGTAATTAGCGCACCTGCTCACATACGACATAACTCATCTGTGTGTGAAAAGATCTTCTACTGAAGCGTAACGTAATCACGTGGTCACCATTGAGTCATATTTATCGATGTCGCAGTTGGATTTTATTCGATACGCATTACGTAAAACTTTCAGTGAATCCCTGTCCGCTTATTTAGATAGTGCTCTAGTAATTTCTTATACCATTAAAAAATAACAAATCTCAATTAATATTTAGATCACATTTAATCACACATATAAGAGAATGTTGAACGAAATAACGTTCGAAGAACGAAGAACGAAGAACGGAATTTTGAGAAACAAGAGTGTTCAACTTAAAATTCTATAATGCCTTGTTTCGAAAAAAGAATTTGATATGTCAACATTTCTGTTGAAGTTCTGGTTTCATTTCTTTATACTATCATTTGTTCACAATCATCAAATTTATCAAGAATAAACGTTATTGCACTGGCATGTAGATCAGATCGATACAAGGACTAACGGTGAAATAAATGCTGTGAATCATGCCTTGGACGCGAAGAATGCTTAATTCCTTTTACTTGTGTTATACCTACAAGATTCTCTCGTCACAAAATTATGTTCGTATATGAAAACAACAAGCTTCTAGAACGTTTGTCATTCGAAATATACGAATAAATATGAAAACGTAATAACAATCTTTTGTCACATTATTTAATAATTTAGAAAAAAATTTATAAAGACATTAGTATACGGGTAAATTTTAATTTTAATAATACTATTAATTTGTGGTAATTTATTTAGGCATGCATCTGCAAAGAATTAAATAAAAGCTTCAAAATAGATACATGTGTAATACTCATTGGTGCGCTATTCCCGCAAAAATCGATTATCTCTGAGCGATATATCAATCATAAAATTTCATGATTAGTATCATATGATGGTCTAATAAGTAACGACAATTTTATTAGATTGCTGATAATGTGATCAATAAATACAGGCAAAATGATAACATAATATCTAAATACTCCGTAATGATTATAACGTATGAGAAAAAGTACAGTCATTTCAGAAATGTTTACATTGTGTATTAAAAAAGTGTTGATGATGTTGACTGCATTAACAAGTCACACTTGGTTGCATTAGTCATTTCATTAGTACAGTAAGTATTCGGTAACACACATGCAGAGTAGCTCAGTAAAAAAATGCGTATTATTATTACACCTTCATATTTTCATTTTATTCTTTCTTTAACTTATGGATTGATTAAATGTAATATTTTGGATCATCCTAAATTTATTTGAATATTTTTTAAAAAGCAATCTGTTTTCATTATTTTCTAAAAATTTAAATTCTTATAAAATATTATATCGCATAATAAACATTTTCAGAAATTATCACTACTAAATATTTTCTATAATTTGCAAATTTAAAATTGCATATATATTCTAGTACAATTTGCTTTAATTATTGCATTATAAAGCAATAATCAAATATTTTTCTCCCTCGTTCTTGTTTTTTGAACTTATTTCGCTTGTTTTATTTTATTGGATAATTCTCAAAGCATACTCAAATATAATACAATCCATTCATAAAATGTTCATTTTTTAATTGCAAAAATTAGTTTGTAAAATTGTTAGATTTTACTGAGTATATAATTTTTTTACTATTTACTATTACATATAATTTGGCACAATTTATATATGCATAAAAGCCGGTTCGTATTTTAGTGATCCCTAGAGTGTCTGCGATAAACATGCTGACTGATAATTCCAGTACATTATCAAGAGAGACAAAAAATACTTCCTCTTTCTAGCTTCCTTCGCATTCATGCAGAAACAGATTAATGTGTATACTTTTAATGAGAAGTGTATACTTTTTAAATGAAGAATTTTACAATGAAAGTTAGATAAAGCTAATCATCCGCGAGACACTGCGGTTAAGATGACGACGTTTCTTTTAAAACTGTTAACCAAATTCCTGCTTTCTGCGTAGGCATCAATGCGTAGCATCTGACGATGATTACATTGTTTCCACAGAAATAAATTTTTTATTAAATTATAATATTATATATTGTAACGTTTTTATTACATTGCGAGAAGAATCAAAATTTGAAAATAATTATGTAGTAGTAAGCTATAAAAAGATTTAACCCACACAGAGAGATTAAAAATAAAAAATATTATTGTTTAAATTATGAGAAATTAATCCTATAACAAATTCTGATAATATATATAAATTACTTTTGAATTATATATAATAAATAAATGATTTTGTTTTTCAGTATCGGAAAGTGGTAAGCCAGTTATTTGGCCAAACCAAAAAGAAATTCTGATTGACGAAGGAGAAACCTTAGAAATTACTTGCAATGGCACTACACGAATCAAATTTATTTATCCAAATAGTTTTGAAGCTACAGTATGTATAAAAGAGTCATTAGAATAAGTTTTTATATTGTTTATATACCATACTTTCAAAGCTGGCCTTAACGGGCATTTTATAAATTAAATATTTGCATTATATTTTGACAGATTAATACTTCAACTCCGAAAACAATTGAGACTGAAAATGATGGCATTCATGAATTTGTTTTTCAACTACCAAATACTGTTTTCGCCGATACAGGCTGGTACGGTTGCGCGGACTACGACGTTGACATTATTCCAAATTCTTACGACAATCCCGAAGTGAACTGGATATATGTTTATGTAAAATGTAAGATCAAATCACATATCTTATTTTCTTGCAGTATAATGAAAAAAACACTTGTGTCTGCATCTTGCTCGTTGTATATATTGGCATTAAATGAATTTATTACAGCTAGTACGCATTTCTTCGTGGAAACAGAAACCCTTGTTCATCTAAATGCAATTGTTGGTAATGATCTTGCAATACCATGTAGAACTACATCACCAGATATAGTACCTATTTTATATGTCAATGTAAGTATTTCGCGACTCTACTTATTCATGTTTGTAAAATACATAGTTTTAACATGCTACAAAGTTATGTAAGATGATTATTTTATTTTTAATTACAGATTAATCTGAGTTTTCAATAAATTATGTTTATTAGAAATAATAAAAAATTGTAATAAAAGATATTGAAAAAGCATGTTATTACTTCAAATTCTTTATTTTTATCATGATAATAATGTCTATTAATTTTATCAGATTAATATTTATGACATTTTTCAAATTTTACATGTGTACAGGATGATGAAGAGACGGAGAAACCATTTGATCCGAGAATTGGTTTTATGATGAAGAGCCTGACAGTGAAAGATAGCGATTGGTACAAATGTTCGATAGAGAAGGATAACATAATACAAAATATCGATTACATATTGACCGTGAATCGTAAGTATGGCCGACTTGAAATATTAATTCAAACATGTATATATTACAATTTTATGATAAAATGTTGTCGACTAAGTAGTTATTTAATTTAATAAAAATGGAAATTATTTATATAGTAAAGGAGGTCTTGTTCGAGCCGATAATCAACGATGACAGTTTGCGTCACGTTACTCGCGGAGAAGATCTTCATGTGAATTGTACTGTGCAAGTGGACACGTCTATGCGGTACATGTTCAATTGGACCACTCCGCAACAGGTAGACAGATTAGTATTGCACGTCAAAATTTAAATTTTGAAGTCTAACACATTTTATATTATTAATAACTAAAAATGCGCATTGATTAATTACATTTACTCTACAAAAATTTCTTCATAAATTTTCTTTATTATAACATTTATCACTCTCACATTTGATTTTTTTCCTTGCAGAGTAGCAGTAGAATAAATACTCAACATTTTAGAAAAAATCTCGACGGAAATAATCTCGAAGTTACGTGTCAGTTGACAATATTTGATGTAATGGACGATGATGCGGGAGAATATGAGTGTTTTATTAAGACGATTCATGATATGAAAAAAACAACGAGAAACATTAAAATACACGGTGAGTTTATTATTAACTTAGAAAGAATATGTATATATTTGCAAAAAAATTGTACACTTTATTAAAATAATTGTGTGCATGCAATATAAAACTCTATGAATTGCATTTTGCCAATGCGCATAAAATTGATTCTTACGTATTAATAAAAAGTTGTATCATTGGAATCCTAAATCTAGTCCTAAATTTGCAAATTGTGTGTGCATAAATAGTTCATATATTCTGTACATAGTTAATAGTAGTAGGAATTGATATATTCTTTTAATTTTTAGATCCTCAAATAAAGTATATCAATCTTACACCTCAACATCCTGCTAAATATTACCAAGCAGAAAGTGGTAGTAGTGTGCAATGGGTTGTTTATATCGATGGATATCCTAAACCTCATATACAATGGTAAATCTTAAAAATGTATTTGAAAATTTATATTTGATAATTTAAAATCTGTTTATTATATATTTCTTCATATTTTCAAATATATATTAAAGCACATTTATTTGCAAAAAACTATATTTCTCATGTTTTTTTTAAATTATTTACTTCTTAATAAATATATGTATATAGGTTTAACATGAATGACGAGGAAATTACAAAGAACTCAAAATATTCTGTGACTACAACTTCCACAAGTACTATTTTGAAGATAATGTTATTAACCTTAATGGACAGAGGAGTTTATACGCTTGAAGCTAAAAACAAGGATATTATTGAAAAACTAAATTTTACGTTGGATGTTATGGGTAAATTATTTTGTAAGATTAAATAAAATTCCAGTGAATTCTACAACTATATTGATTCTAGCCAAACCATATTCTTTATTGGCGGATGTTGAATCTTACTATGCACCTAATGAAAGTGCCGAGTTTCATTGTGAAGTGGTTTGTTATCCGCCTCCGAATATAACATGGAGTTTTCTAAAATGCCCTAATTATCCATCACTTGAAAATTCAACAATTGTGCACCTGACAGTAAGTACAATCTTATATTAATCTGATTTTGTTAAATGAGTATTTATATGATTCATATTTTACATGACAAAAATTTCTGTGAATTTTATAGGATGTAATGCAAAGTGCGACTTCTGACTATAATATCAAATTTACTTCAAGAGTAAAAATGCCTATTGAAGTGTCGGGGAAAATAACATGTGAGGCCTGCAATACTCTTGGCTGTGAGGCTTCAACCGAGATTCTTTTTGTTTCTGGTAAAAATATTTTTTACTATTATGTAACTTTTTATAGTCCACAAAAAATAAGTAATATTTTTTAAACTCAAAGTTAAGCAATTTTTAAATTTAAAGAAAACGCGTTTTGTAGATAAAATGTTGTCATTTTTGGCATCTATTTTAAATTTTTCGAGACAAATTTTTTTTTATTAATTATAATTAATAATTTTTAGACAAATTTTAATCAAATTTAACATTTATCTAATGTAATTATTATGTTAATAATTAAAATTTTTTATTTTTTAAATTTTACAGATGGAGTAGGTGCTTTTGGTATTATCGAACCAAAGGAATTGGTGTCAGTTGGTGATGATGTAGAATTTACGTGTGCTGCTTCCATCTATAATTATACAGATGATCTTACATGGACAAATAATAGTTCTCTACAAACGCCAATTGTAGAAACAGGTAATTGTTTGAAACAAAGAAATTAATCCACAAAAAAATTTAAAAGTGGAATGCAATAAAATACATGTAATATAAATAAAATATGTTCTTTAAAAGAATTAATACTTTTATAAAACATATAAATTAATTAGTAATATAACTTATAATCTCTCTTCATAATTTCAGAAAGACTACATATTATACGACATAAAACTCCGTTTACTTATCAATCAACTATAAAAATCAATAATGTTCAAAAATCAGATGCTCAGGATTACATCTGTATCGGCAAATATATATCATCAAATACAATTTTGTCCGAAGATGGATTCTATAAATTAGTTGTGCATGGTAATTACAATATTTCTATATACTTTACTAAAAAATTTTCTTAACTTTAGTTAAATTTATGGTAATTTAATTTTTTCAAAGAAAACTGAGTATTGTAAGAATTTCTTCTAATACAAGAATATCAAAATCAAATAAATCTAAACGTTTAAACTTAAATATATTTAGAAAAAACTTTTATATGCTAAGTTAGTGTAATTTATTATTTAAAAAAAATTTATTTACTATATTTTTAACTAAAATTTATTTACACTAACAAAATGTTTATACCTTAAAACTATTTTTGATGAGTTTAACACTATATAGATCCTGCACCACCAACTTTCGACAAAAGTAATATGAATAAAACAAAAGTAAGAGAAATAGACGTGATTACGGATGGCCATAAAACAGTGACATTACAATGTTTTGCAGTTGGACTGCCAAAACCAACATTGACCTGGTACAAAGTAAGGCATTTTTATTTTTTATTAAAGATTATTTTCGTTAAATAAAAATAAATGTAACGAATGCTACATTTTATTCTTCTATAATTCCAGGACAATACACTGTTAAAGGAAAATGACCAATATTTTTTCAAGCACAATTATCAAGAACTAAACATAAAATATTTAAAACAACACGATAGCGGAAAATATTCGTGTCGCGCCACTAATCGATTAGGCACCAGCGAAAATTATCAGCAAATAACAGTAAAACATGGAAAACGTAAGCTTTATAGAAAATTCTCATATTTTTAAAATAAAATTATCAATATTAAAAACATGAATGTCTTTGTAGGGCAGAAACTTGAAATAGTATTAGCTATTTTCATAGCTATTTTAGTTGTCTTCCTAGTGATTTTAGGAATCTTTTACATAATTAGAATTCGTCGTGAAAAGGTAAATTACATTTCACATTTTTTATAGATAATTTATACATAAAATGTAATATCGATATTGTGTTGTAGTAAAAGTTTATAAAAGATATAATATTCTTCAATTAAAAATCAAACTTAAATTATTATACAGAGAATGAAGAGAGAATTAATGGAAGCAGGTCTTACTCATTTTGAAGAAGGTGCTTTGGAATGTCTAAATCCAGATCTGACAGTGGATGATCAAGCAGAATTACTTCCGTACGATAAAAAATGGGAATTTTCACGGGAAAAATTGAAACTCGGTAAGAACGACTTATTTTGCGTAGTTAAAATGTCAGTTTATTACAGACACTTTAATGTGTGTGTGTGTGTGTGTGTGTGTGAATCATATTTTAGGAAAGCAATTGGGCAGTGGTGCGTTTGGAGTTGTAATGAAGGCGGAAGCACAAGGAATATGTGACAACGAGACCGCCACTACTGTTGCCGTAAAAATGGTTCGTCGGACCACTGATCCAACTTATGTCCGCGCACTAGCGAGTGAATTGAAAATAATGGTACATCTTGGCAAGCATCTCAACGTTGTCAATCTTCTTGGTGCTTGCACTAAGAATATTTCCAAACGTATGTATTGCAGATCAATGAAAGGTTACACATTAAATAATAGAAAGCATTCTATAATAAAATATCGTATTTTTCTATCTAATTGTTAATTTTGGATAGAGATAAAACGGATAAAAGTTAAATAATCGTATAAAAAATATTAATAAATAAAATTTCTATATTATAACAGGTGAATTGTTAGTTATTGTCGAATATTGTCGCTTTGGAAATCTGCATAATTATCTGTTGAAACATAGAACCGATTTCATTAATCAAATTGATCCCAAAACTGGAAAACTCGATCTTGCTATCGGTATAGATATACTTGCAAGAACTAGTATCAGTAGTGATAACAGGTTTGTGTTTCAAATATATTTAAATAATTCTTTTTTTATTCCGCATTTTATACTGACTGTGTTTGTGCACAACTTATACGTTTTTATTAAAAGTAGATGTTATTTACGTAACAAAAATTTTTTCAAAAATAATAATTTAACTAAAAAACAAGTAATGTTAACTAAAAATAAGTAATATAATATTTTATACTGCCTTTCTAATTAAATATATTTTTTTAACAAATTAAATTTGTATACTAATGTCACAAAGAATCTGCCACTAACTTATTCTACGTAAAGTTTCATAAACTCTAATTTGAATAACCACATGTCCTGTGTTTATAAATAATGCACATACAAACTAGTGCATGCAAGGGTTTGCGGTTTAACAATATTTGTTTTTTCTCTTTTGCTCATGCAATAGGATAAAATATGCGGCATTATCCTTTTCCCGCAGTCTTAATGTGAATTCAGGCACCGATACAGTGGTATGCTACAGTCCGCAAACAAATCCGGATGTTGAAGAGATTGGCTCCTCGCCAGACGGATGCATTCTTAGTAATAATTCGTCTCAACCGGGTTGGAGATCAAATTATCACGGTGACTATAAGGACCAGAATCTCAAACCCATTTGCACTCAAGACCTATTATCTTGGGCATTCCAGGTAGCACGTGGAATGGAATATCTCAGTCACAGAAAAGTAAGTCGTCTTTAAGATATATTAATACCTGCTGAATAAATAAAATAAATCGTAATATTAAAATAAATTAATAAAATTAATTTAATTTTTAATATATTACATTTACGTAAACAACGTAATTAATTAATTAATAAATAAATTAGAATATCAGAATTAATATATAATTTAAAATAATTAACACATTTGATATAATAATATTTTTATTAATTTATATAATTGTTATATAAATTTGCAATATACTTTATAAAATAAAATTTGTCTGTTTTAATTGTATTTAAATTCTGACAGCTTCTCAAGTGTTTTACAAACAATTTTTTCATTTTGCTGTGATATGTTTATCTAGGTGTTGCACGGTGATTTGGCAGCAAGAAATATTTTACTTGCTGAAAATAACATAGTAAAAATTTGCGATTTTGGTCTCGCAAAAAATATGTACAAAGATGGCAATTATAAGAAAAAAGGAGATGCTCCATTGCCTATAAAGTGGATGGCAATCGAGTCGATTAGAGATCGTATTTTTTCCACGCAATCCGACATATGGTCTTTCGGTATAGTTTTGTGGGAATTTTTCTCCTTGGCTAAGACACCGTATCCCGGCATGGAAGCGGAAAAGCAGTATCAAAAGTTGATCGAAGGTTACAGAATGGAGCAACCGGAATACGCTATTGATGAAGTATATGACATAATGTTACAGTGCTGGAAAGCTAAACCCACATTGCGTCCAAGTTTTTCGGATCTTGTAGAAAGCATTGGCAATTTATTAGAGGAAAGTGTGAAATCGGTGAGTCATTTTTTACTTTAACTCTATCACAGTGACGTTATCAATCAGGCCGTGACAAAAGCGAAAAAGTAGAAGAGTATACACATGAATGAATATTCAACAGAAAAGTATAACACTGATAACAAATGAAATTTTTAATATAAAAGCTCCGCAATATGATGTTTAAAATAGAGGGATAATTAATAATTTAATCGTCAAGCTTGATAATTTAATTTTAAAATAAATATTATTAGAGGCATTATTAAAAACTCCTATAAACAATTCGCAAGTAATATATTTAAAAAAATACGAATAAAATGTTTTTTATTTTTATTTCAGCACTACATCAGTTTAAACACACCGTACATGGACATGAACGAAACCTTGAAGGATAGCAAAAACGATTATCTGACAATGATGTCCGCGCCAGATCACGCAATTTTGTCGTCGCCGAGTCACGATTACGTGAACGCGCCATTTTCGGAGAGTACACCAAATTCGACGTATTTATGCATGACTCCTAGCTGTCAGACGGATGAATCCGGAATATTTAGTCCTAGACCGCATCAGGACCACACGCACTTTGAATTCCCATCACCAGCGTCGGATTCCGAGGACGCTATTGAATTGTCGCCGATGCTAAAGCAAGAAGAGGATGATCCCTACCTTAAGCCGATCAACGTACATGCACGAAGGGCGGAGTTCACGCGACAAAGGCAAACAATAAAAAATCAGAGGCCCGATAGATCGATCGATCGAGATTCTGGTTATTGTAACGCGCCACGAAATCTTCGTCTAATAGATTTAAACGACGTGGACGAGAACGATTCGATTCGACAAATTGACGCGGATGAAGTAGACTTGGGAAAGAAAGACTTTACGCCGTCTATTATCAGCACGCAAAACAACTACATAAATATGCCGAAACAGAAGAACGAGCTGAGAAAGGATATGCCGGAAAGCTTTAGCAATCCTAGTTATATAATGATGAGCAATCGAGAAATGGATCAGACAGTTTAGTCTGTTTATGTTTAATCTCAATCGTACAGCTTCGTAACTGTCGGATTATTTTTAAAATAGGATTTATGATGGATTCATTTGTGACTTTGTGTTATAGTGACTCTTATTACAATTTTTTGTACTATTGTAATTATAATTGTGCATTGTATAATGTCGCATAACATGTCTAATTTAATGTTTCGCAAAGCATCTACTGTTTTTGGATCAGTGTGCCATGATGATCAACAGTGCATCGAGAATTCATTGGTGAGTGAAAAAAAATGCTTTCTTATTGAATACAATAACATGAAACAATGAACACACTCGTAATGCACATTTTAATTTTTATTACTCTTTTTCTACGTGATTTTTACACGACACTGATTTTGACTAATTTGACCGTTTACATAGCTTCTTATGCATGACGAGTAAATTATATTTTATTGATAATTACGAGAGTATTTCTCATGACTGAGAATTAATATTTGCCTATTAATGCATTCTATTTAAAAAATGCAAAAATTTTTGAATTTATTGAACTATAAATTTTTTGTCATTTTTTGAAAGTAAATAATATATTCGAACGTCGTAATCATGTGTTTATATATATACAAATGCAAAGGAATAAATAAGAAGCTAAAGAGCCGTTGCTAGATGGTCGCGCTAGTGTATTCAAAGACAAATAGTAAAAACCAAATTATAATATTTCTTTACTATAAACTTGAAGAAGGTCTGCTAACAGGTCAAAACGTTGTTTTTACTATTTGTCTTTGAATACACTAGCACGACCATCTAGCAACGGCTATTTAGCTTCTTATTTATTCCTTTGAATTTATTTCATTATTTCAGCCTTAATATATTTTAATTTAAAAAAAATATATAAATGACTTATACCAAATATATCGTAAAAGTCTATATAGGATATGTTTTAAAATAATGAATAGCTTATGTGTGCTTTTATCCACCGAAGACTCGGAAATCAAAATTACTTAATTAGTTTTATAACAATTAAATTTAATTAGTTTTGTAAAGTAATGATGTACATTCTCGCAAAGTACAATTTAAATTACTTAAGCTCATACAGCACAAAACTTCCCGAATACATTGCAACAACATTGTAGTATTGCTGTAATGTATCTGCCAGTTGTATTCTATATAGAAACAAAATATCATTATAAAAAAATATAAATCTATTTTATTACTAACATTCATATATTTCATTCTCATTACGATTTATTTAAAGTAGCAGATATTTTGCATTTTTTATATTTTATCTTGAAAACATTCTTAGCGTAATGTTTTTTATTTTTTTATATACATAAATTTAATATTAAATTATTTATATGTAAGTGTGCTTTTGTGCAATATAAAATATAAGCAAGAGAATCTTATCAAATTGTACTTAATACTCATATTATTTACTCTTTATATGTAAGCATTGTTAAGAGTATTTTATTATTTTAATCAGTTAAAGAGTTATTCTTAAGAATTAGCTATATAGATTTAAAAATAGTTTTTGTGCAAGTATGTACAAAAGTGTGTTTTGTGCGAATGTGCTTTTGTATGACAAACTGCTAAAAGTATATTTTTTAATTTTCATAATTGTTCAGAAAATAAAAAAATTATATTGACTATTATTTAGTAATTTAGTTATTATTTTATTTCATAGTTACTTCGATTATATATATTTAATAAGAAAACACATCACGAGTCAGTTCTATTAATCCACCATTTAAATTTTTACGAACGAGTGCTGATACAAGCGTGAAAGAAATTGCTAATAACATATTCGATAGACAATGTATAGTTTTTATAAATTGCTTAATAAATACATTTATCATCAATATATAATATACTTGTGTGATTTAAAATAACATTGAGAGAGAGAGATTTGATAGAGTCAAGTAGTAATTTTTGGATCTATCTCATCTGTAATCCTGATCGAATATGGCACGTCGTGTATCGTTGTATTATTACGAAAACGACCACGTCGTACAATAACATCTTTAACTAAATTTTGCTTGTATGTCATCCATCTGAAATAAAAGCCGGAATAGTGTAAAAATTTTCGTAAATCACCATTAATAATTAGAAGAAATTTAGAGAATGTTACTATAAATATGTTTAACGTAATGTATCGTACTTTCTATTTAGAAGGAATGCATCAAACAGCTGTTTCTTAGTTGGATATTTCGAGTCGATGAACAGTTTTACACGGCCCCAGATATTAGCACGATTGTGTTCGAGCAGCCAGTATCGTGGGATAAGAAAACATCGCACCGGCGTCATTGCTACTATCCTTCGATGAAGCATTTTTTCTCCTAATTTAGTAAATTTTAATGCGATTAACTGAAGCGTAATGCAGAGGAAAAAATATTTTTTTATTTGCTTCTTACCTAAACCGAAGCATGCACCCCGAGAGAAAATGCATATTTGCATGAATATAGTGTGAACGTCGCTCGGATAACGCAATTGAGACGTAACCGATGGTTCCCGCAACAATATCGCCGCTACATCAGTAATCTCATGCCATCCTTTCACCTTGATTTTGCGATATTTATTAAAATACGCGATTTTGCCTACTATTCTAAATTACACTAACAAATCAAATCAAATTTATCTGAATACATAATTGTTTTGTTTTAAATGGCAAACAAACTTTTATCAATTATAGCCATTTTAATACAATAAATTTCAATAAACGTTGTGCAATGTAATTTTATATAATTACATGTGATTTTATTTAATATTATATGCTATGAGTACTTACGACATCCAGAAGTGTGGTAGTAACAATGCTTGATCGGTCAACTTCGGTGTACTGCCTCTGCAAGAGTAACAAGATCAATCTGGTAAATTATCATGTTTAATTTTCTTAAAGTTGATACGTGTAATGCCAAGTACGAAAAAAAGAGGCATTTGAAGGTATTCTAGAAACACACGACAATTTTTCGTAAAATTAATTAAAAGATTAAATATTACATCGAATAGTACAATATATTTTTTGTTCTACACTGTGAACTCTGCTCGCAATCATATATTTTTGTGTTATTTGCATAAACAAACTACAAATTATGCAAGCACGTAGTGTTTGAATCTAAATAATAGTATACAAGTGCATTGGTGCATCGAAAAATTTACAAGCGCAAAAGAAAATATCGCAAATAACAGTGTAGAGAAGTAAAGCATTTTCTTTGAAATCGTACTGGATTGGTTTTGTAATCCAATTTAGGCGACTGGTTAGATTTTGCATTCTTATTTGACGCTTTTCTTGATTGTTTTTGTAGATCAGAAATTTCGGAATCGTACAGTTCATATTGTATTCCGCAGTAAGAAGGACGCTCGCGAATGAGCATGTGCTCAATAAGACGACATTCGCCATTCAAAATGAAATGTACGTAATTCACCATGCCGGTTCCATCCCCTAAGAGAACCTTTCACATTAATTTAGATTTGTTGTTAGCGCTTTTCGTGTTTTTTATTATTATATTATTGTCAAAATCGATTTATATTAAAATCTTTATTTAAATTCAGGTTTTTGCGAGTAAAAATAATTGAAATATTACTGCATAATTATTATATCAGATTATTTACCTCGTTTGGTTTAAAGTCTTTCAACTTGCTCAGGATACAACATTCTCGAACTGTTTCTTCATCCCACAACTTGAAATAATTGAAATGAACTAACGCGTCGCGCAGAACGTCCCATTGTTTTGTCAAGCTATTGCGCAAAATCCTGTCGAAATCATCCTGGTTAATTAGAAGCAAATCGACGGACGCTAAATAGTCGAAACAAAAATAATATAAATTTCAATTTAAAACATATTATCAGATCTATGATTCATCTTTACTAACTTTTGGTAACCACTGTTGATGTTCTCCGTATTCTATGCAACAATGCAACTTCGCCAAACATATCGCCTGATTGCATAATTCCCATGTCTATGATTTTTTCATCACCTAACGAACAATATTAGATTATAAAAGTTTTCACAATAATCTTATGTAGTATTGTAGAATTATATAGATGGAATTAAAATTCTTGAAAATCAGAGAGAGAATCTCTGAGATTATATAGATATGTATTATATTTATAAAAAATACAACAAGAATCGTTCAATATGCGACAATATGTAAAGATGCGTTGCTAATTCGTTAGCAGTCTCTCTTACGCGTTAATGTTTGTTACTTCGCGATTATTCAACTCAGTTTTGCATTCTTTATAATGCTGTTTAGCAAAAATTCAATCTCGAATACTCACTCGCGATCATTTATAAAACGTAATAAAATTCGTGACCTATCTCGTAACACTGTACTCGTTTTCGTGCGTCTCGTTCGTCGGTTTCAAAGATAAAAGCATTGTTTTGCAGTAACATTGCTCACCCATAAATAAACATATTGATTGCACCGTATCGATCGATCAAAATCATTGTTCTAGAATATCACCAACAGTATAGTTCTTTTTCTTTGCGATAATCCCTTGAGATAATTTATTTTAAAAAGTTAAGTTATATAAAAAACATGACAACTTAATATCAAATCGTCAGCAAAAAAAATCAGCTAGAAGTTTATTCGATATTTATGTGTATTGAGCATCTTTTACATCTTGCGTAGAAATCAATGAATATTCTAATAATAAATCTGACGTGAAAATTTTCTTCTTTAATTCAACTTAAAATCTTATCGAATCCAATTAAATCTCACTATGCATTTAAGTGTGTAAAAATTTGTGCCGCTATTTTTCTCACCTGTTAATTCGTCGATTGCAATTTTCGATAGACCAACTTCGCCATTCGCAATGAAATAAAGATTATCCGCTCTATGACCCTGACGAACAATTACTCGATCAACAGGTAAATATTGATAAATACACACCGCTGCCAGATTTTTTCTCAGATCTTCCGAATGTTTCGTGAATGCGTGTAACTTTCGGATAAGATCGTATATGTACGCTTTATCCGAGGGGGATCTTTCATATGGTTTCACCAACAGTTTTGATCGATCCTTAAATCAGTAATAATTTTTATCGATACGCATTTCAAATAACAATTTTTTAATCTTTTTTTTCTTTTCATATAGTATATTTTATTAAATACCTCTAACGTGAGCAGTTTCTTTTCTATTTTGTGTTTCTGATAAGCCATTTTTATATTAATCGTCACATCGTCGCTAATTTCCTCGGTTATTGGTTCCTCTGTTATCCATTCCATATACTCCAAAACGAGCCGCACCGCTGCTCGAAATAAGTAACGACCTTTCAATCTAAGAGGCTAAGTAAAGATAAAAAATGTTAATAAAAAAACTACAAATAAAAATAATTACTAGTTAATTGTGAACGATTACAAATCTCTTTTAAATCCTTGCAATAAAGTCTTTGACATATTTCACGGCATATAATGCACACAAATATATTTGTAACCGTACCAAATATTGTTTATAAATATTTCCTTACCTTAATAAGCAACTTTCTCGGTGGTAATTTATATGCAAGCGATTCTCGCAAACTACTCCTCCTTATTTTATATAAAGACATTGTAAAAAATTACAAGATCTTTATTTTTGTCTATAAATTATCAATACTGAATTTTTTAATTTCACAAACGCATAAACCAGGTCTAAACAGTTTGCAAACTGACGTTAGTTGCGCAACTTGTTTGATCGATCATTGATATCGTATCGTTTATATGTGTTGATGTGGCGCCAATATGAATTAAAAAGCTACATTGTTTCAATTTTAATTATGTAAACTCCACTTTTCTATTCCCTAAAATGAAGAAATTGTGAAATATTTATCCTAAAATCTACAAAGATTTTCTGCTTTGTTCTATTCCATAATAATATTATGCACATAGTTGCTACATTATTTTGTTTCGTTAATTTATTAATTATCTACATTTTTTATCTTTGTCAAACCTTTGCATTTTATTTATATTGTATGTATTAAAAATTACTATCTAATAAATTTATTGATTATATTTAATTAATAAAAATAATATAATAATAATAAATTGAAATCAGAATATAATAAGAAATATTGTATATAAATTTTCCAGTACTTTAATAATAATTTATTTTTATCTTAATATTCCAAAAAGGGAATATTGCAGTGGAATTTTTATAAGACATATTTTTATATTACGTTCAAAAAAGTGAGTTTTGCTTTTTTGGGGGTTTTTTATGAGCTACTGTTTTGATGATATGTATCATTTCTATATATCTTTTACAGTATAATAGATAATATTGCTGCAAAAATTCTATTACATTTTAAACGAAGAAATGGTTATGTTTATGTTTTTTTTATGTTTTATGATATTTTACCAGCCTTTACAGATGTAAATACATACGAATGGATGTACACAGATAGCGCTGCCGTTGATCTCTCCATTTTTCCTTTTGGTGTGTAGTAGAGATTGGTAGAGATTTCTAACCTAATTTCTAGAGTGTTCGTAGTTATTGTCACTCTTGTCATTTTGTTGATATATTTGTCAGTGTGCGTGACTTTCAGACCGAAAAAATGGTATTAAATAACAATATTCTTTATACGTCCTGTTCATATATACATTGAGCTAGTACTGCAATTATTTTATGTTTTATTACATATATAAGTTTATATTATAGGTTATGTGAACAATGACAATCGATTTTGACTATTTATTTTATTATTAAATTTATTACTGTCAATAATATTGCACAGTAGTAATCAAGAGTAAATTTTACTTATGTCTTATTATATAAAAATAGTTTATTGTGTGTAATTTTTATTATATATTACTTAACTCATGCTAAGTAATGATTAATAAATTGCTATACAAAATGTATCAAAAAAGCTTGCTCATGTAAAAGATGTCTGGAATATCTGTGATAAAAAACTTATTTTGTCTTAAATAATTTTAGAGTTTTGGATTGCCATCTATCATTCCTAAATCTACTAAACCTGAGCAGTTCGACATTAAAGGTGGAGCGAACTATGATATACCTAATCCTATGACATCAGGGTGAGATACATTATTAATCAAATTTAATTAAATTTAAAAAAAAATAAATTAGCTAAGTTATTTTTTATTTTTATTAATCATTAGAATGATTGGAATTATAATTAAAACTTATTTTTGTATAACATAAATATTTTTTATGTAAAAATAATTCTAAATGATCATAATAGGATAGTCTCTGTTTTTATACAGTCATATATTTGTATTATTTTTGTTCGTCTAGTCTATCAGCAAGTAGACAAAGTGTTGGTTATGCACATCCTTTGGAAGCTTCAGAAAAAAATGTAAGAATTATTGTATTTCATTCTATTGGTAATTCTGAATTAATCAATTATAATTGCATTTGTATTTCAGTATAAAAAAAATCAGGATCGCATGGACATGATATTACTCAGGAATACACAAGGATTACACGCACCATTGCGTATGGCTATGGAATTGAAGGCTACTGAGAAGATTGGAAGACTTCCATTCTTACCATCATCTAATATGATGCGAGATGTTTTGCTTGGACGAGATCAAGACATAGGGTAAGATTTATAACGATCATTTTTGCCATGACAATTTTAGTTCATGTTTGTCAATTTTTGTTCACATATATATTTTATTGCTTTCTAGATTTGAAGATATTTTCAATATTCCTGAATTCAGGGAACAAATGGGACAGCCGCATGCTGTTGTAGAAAATCATCTTGGAATGTTGTAAAAGTTAAATTCGCAAAAATTGCATCTTTTAATAAAAAAATAAAAATTTATATAAAATTTAAAATAAGAATTATTAATAAACATTACAGTACTGTTTTTATAAGTTAAATATATACTTTTTCTTTCTGGAAATATTCCAATAATAATTTAAAGATAAAGATGTAAAATGTGTTGGATTTTATAAAATCTAATGTATTTAACATATGTTAAAAAAACAATAGTGGTAGATTTACTTAGAAAAAAGAAGCATTAATTTAACAAATAAAAGATAGTAAAAATGATATATTTGTTTATAATCATTTTATAATTGTTTCATTTATCGATTAATAAACACATCATTAAAGGTGGTTTATATATTCAACGAATTTGTGTTGTAGATTGTGAGTGTTTATCTCATCACATAGCATATAAATAATTATCGCTTCAAGTAGTGACGCCAGATTTGAAACTGCACTAGTCGGTACACTTACCATCATGTACAGTCGTTATGTTGTTTTAGTTAACCAATAACATTGCTTCAAGTGGAGCTCCGGTATCATCATGTGTTCCTGATCGCAAAAAATCATAAACACAGCATCCAATTCAAAATATTTCTGAATATTTCTTTCGTGTTGATAATAAAGTTGATTAAGCCGAAAGAATTTCATGTAGCGATTCACTGTTCCTTCTTTGGTTACTGTGCTAGCACAAACATAAAAGGAAAGAAAAGGAGAATTCGCTCTAACCTAACTAAGAAACTCGGTGTTTACAGTTTATTTCGCGAGGATCCATCAAGAAATAATTGAAAACGGAATAAATTGTACGTATAGCGAAACGAAAGTGATTTTACAGGATCATGTAGTAATTCAAATTCAAGGAACAGCATCAATCATCGACGTTGAACGAACTCGCCGGTATAGTCAACAATGACGACGAAGATCCTGGACGGTGGTTTTTCCGGGCAGCTCTCACGCCATGTAGGTGCGAAGATCGACGGGGACCCATTGTGGACGGCGCGATTTCTCGCAACTAATCCTGACGCCGTTTACGCCACACACTTGGACTTCTTGCGTGCCGGCGCCGATGTTATCGAAACTGACACTTATCAAGCATCCGTGTCCGGCCTGATGAAGCATTTGAATGTGAGCGAACGTGAGAGTCTGGATTTGTTCACGAAGGCCGTCTCGTTGGCCAAGAAAGCCGTGCGCGATTATACTCGAGAAACAGATGGCCTCGAGCAACATGCTGACAGAAGACCTATAGTAGCTGGCTCCTGTGGGCCTTATGGCGCTTGCTTGCATGATGCGTCAGAGTACTCCGGATTCTATGGAAAAACTATATCACAACAGGAATTGATCGATTGGCACAGACCACGCGTACAGGCGCTATTGGATGCGGGTGTTGACGTGCTGGCTCTGGAAACTATACCCTGCGTCGAGGAAGCGGAGGCCCTGCTGGAATTGTTGCAGGAGTTTCCGCACGCTCGAGCCTGGTTCTCATTTTCCTGTCGGGACGGTCAGCTCATATCAGACGGTAGCAATTTTCAAGAAGTGGCCGTACGCTGTTACCGTTCTTTGCCGTCACAGATCATTGCAGTTGGTGTTAACTGCATCGACCCGAAGTATGTGACTTCCTTGTTGAAGGGAATTAACGAGAATATATCGTCACCAGATTTCATTCCTCTGATAGTGTATCCTAATAGAGGTGGCAGCTATTCCGCGACCGGCGAATGGATCGCGGTTCCGGATGATCATTCCTTAAATCTACCTATATCGAAATGGTTGGACATGGGAGTTTGTTACATCGGCGGCTGTTGCAAGATCTTTGCGGAGGACATAAAAACAATTCGATCGATAGTGGATCAATATCACGCAAAAACTGCAGCGACATAATCATTTTTACAAGTCAAGCTGATACGGCAATCTTCGAACAACTCGGAATGACACAGCAATCTCCGAACTTGTATAATATATTTTTACACAGGTATCAACACGCGTGTTAAAATCAATAATGATTAAAGATAAAAAGATAAAAAGTATACTTGCAATCAATTATACAAATTGAATTTGTTAAATGATTTGCAGATTACTATAAAGCTGATGCAACATATGTATATATGACCATCATCGCAGTATAAAAATTGTCATGATGCAATTGCCATGAGTAATTATTTGTAATAAGTATACAAGATATTTATCAGTCATAGTTATTGCAGCATTTTGTAACTGTCAATTTTTATATTCACAAGATTCTCTTCCTCATATAATATTTCATATTCTATTTCTCCCACATATAATATTTATAGAGATAAAAAAAGAGATATATTAAGTTACTTCTGCGCGTCGTACATTTCTCTAGAAAAAAATTTTATATAATTTATAAATATATTTTTATATAATTCTTAAATATATTTCATGACAGAGCGAATAATGCAATGTTCACTATCTCGTCACGTGCATAACTGATGATTGATGATGGTAAAACGATCATTAGAGACTAGAATAGATTAGATAGTAACATTGAGAATTATTTTTCATTTTAAAGTTTTTTCGATGATTGCTCAAAACCCGTATTATCTTGCATTCTACGCTTTCCAACTATTTTGTTCAGAGGTCATGTAATTTATTTAGAATACCGAGTGGAAAGGGAAATGTTTATTCAGATATCGCAGACGATGCGTCTTCTTAATCTTTTGTCTCGTCTTGTCGCCTTCCACAAATACCTGCCAATAATGTGGCCACGTTGCATCAGCGGCAGACGATCCGCGTGACGCGACGATTTAGAGCACATGCGCGATGTACAATGCGGAAGACGCAACTTTATAATCTCTGTTTGTTTGCCGTCGGCGACATGCACCTCACCCATGATTAAATTATCAAAATGTAGCTGCAACGATAACAACTTGTCCTCGAAAGTTGTCTCCGTGATACGTATAAGATCTGCGCATTGAACCAACTTCTTCATATTGTTGTGGAACATGCCGTTCGATTGAGACGCGCGCTGTGCCTTTGAATTCGTCGCAATAAAATTTCCGTGTCATTGTACGATATCGGCACTTTGATACAGAATTTCACAAAATTGAAGCAAAGAGACATCATGTTGGAGATAAAAGTGCTAGACGGTGGATTTTCCACGCAGCTGTCCACTCACGTGGGTGAAAAGATCGACGGTGATCCTCTGTGGACCGCACGCTTCCTCATTACGGATTCGAACGCTGTCTTCGCTACTCATTTGGACTTTTTACGAGCTGGCGCCGACATTATACAGACGAACACGTATCAAGCGACAATTGATGGCTTCATAAAATATCTGGAAGTCACTGAAAAAGAGGGTCTTCAGATAATCCACAAAGCTGTTGATTACGCCAAGGACGCGTTAAATGTTTACATCGAAGAAATAAAGGATGACGCAAACGTGACGAACCGAAAACCATTGATCGCTGGATCGTGCGGTCCTTATGGCGCCAGTTTGCACGATGGCTCAGAGTACACTGGTTCGTACGCCACACGTGTATCGCGAGAATTTTTAATCGATTGGCACAGGCCTCGTATACGGGCGCTATTAGACGAAGGCGTTGATCTATTGGCTATAGAAACGATACCTTGCGTACGCGAGGCAGAGGCTGTAATCGATTTGCTCAAGGAATTTCCAAATGCACGTGCGTGGTTGTCGTTTTCTTGTAAAGACGACGGGAAGAGTCTAGCAGATGGTGGCAATTTTCAGGAGATCGCTGTGCGATGTTACAAAAATGCGCTACCTGGACAGATAATAGCAATCGGCGTTAACTGTATCGCTCCATATTTGGTCACCACCTTATTTAAAGGCATCAATAAAGGCAGCACAGACGACCTTATACCATTGGTGGTATATCCTAATAGCGGCGAAAGGTATGTGGTATCTGAGGGATGGAAAAAGGAAGGTGAAACTCCGTCTTTGCACGAATTCATTGACGAATGGCTGGATCTCGGCGTACGTTACATTGGAGGATGTTGCAGGACATATGCTACAGATATAAAAAAAATAAGAGCCAAAGTGGACCAACATAGAGATACAATAATTTAACGAACATTGATAATAATATTCTATGTAATTTCCATGACAGATATAAAAGTATGCCTAATGTTTGTCATATTATATATTTTAAACAGCAAATTGTTTGTGTTTTAACAGAATTACGTGCCATAATATTCCTTTTAAGAATTTTTATATTTATATGTATAAAATATTCATTAAGCATATCAAGGTTACTGAAGTATATCAAATTTAATGAATATTTTTTATTGATAAATAAATATTGTACAAAGGCCTTACATGGTCTTCTTTTCATAGAGATATACGTGAATTACTATTAATCTGATATTTGCCTTCATTGTGAAAATAATTTGGTATATTTTTGTATAACAATCAGTAGCAAATTTAAGTTTTTGGAATCGAAGTTATTTGTGAAAGGCCCTTTTAGGAAGGGAGCGAGAGGCAATAGATCTACTTTTTTTACATTTAAAGAATCATTTTGAACTTAAAAAACCTTGCATTTGACGCATAAAATTGCAAAAAAACAATCTTCTAAAATCAGAAACAGCATGTTGAAGAATTTGAAACAACGCGTAATCAGATCAGATATAACTCGGGCGATTGGCAAATACATAATAGATATATGTAATAGATCTGCTATTGATAATACTCTAATTTCTTCATTTCATCGTCATATTATCAAAGCAGCTCTATTATTTTCCTTCAGATGTATCAATATATATTAAATATTTACCTATCATGTATGTACTACCTGCAACATTTATTTCAACATTTTCTGTTTCTGTATTTAAACTAAATACAGAATTAGATGGAATCTCAGTTTTTCCTTGTAAAATATCCGTTGCAATTGGTTTAGTTCTTGGTCCCAAAATTGGATCGTTATACCGATATAATGTAATTGAAGCAGGGTCTAAATAAAAATGTGCATTATACAGTAATAAATACAGTGTCAATTAATTTACTAATCATGCATAAATTTCCACATACCTTGTATACGTTTATTTTGTTTTACAATATGGGACACGACATCTGCAGTTGTATCATCTTGCGAAATTACCACATCCATTTCAAATAAACCGCTACCAATTTGCGGATTAATAGCACGTATTGAAACTAAGGGCTTCGTATGGAGTTTTTCTACGGAAAAGCTCATGTATGGAACACCCGGACAACATTCCTCTTTTGTCTTTTCTGGAGCTTCGTCCGTATATTTTATAACAATATCATCAAGCTGAATAATAAGTGAGATAAAACTATAGTAAATATACAGTAATATACGATAATAAAGAGTCGAAAAAGATGTGAGGACTGCTTACGCCTAATGTACTTTTCAGATAGTTTTTGTTGCCTTCAAGTACCGTCTTCTCATCAAAATCAAGTGTTAAGTTCAGTGCACTGAGACCAATAACTTCCATTTTTTCCTTTACGAGTTGCACGAACGGCATTACTCTTTTCATGTATTTTTTTAACTCGGTTTTGCTTCCTAACTCTGTGGCGAGTACTTTATTGTCGGGTAATTTATCTCCGTTTTTCTGCAATATACACAAAGATATAAATGCACAGGAAAAAATTAATTATTGCGTGCTAAATTATTACTACGAGAGACTTACGGAATACATTTCCCTCATCGTAGTAAGAATAATACTTTGCCAGTTAGGGTAAGTCTTGGCTACCCAAATAATTCCTAGCGTAGGCTTCTCTATATCGGTAACTTGATTCTTTTCCTTTGAAGACTTTTTCGGTGTCATGTAATGTTTTAAGAGGATTCTAAATGCGTGAGCGGCATCCATCAGATATTGGGATGATTTTATTAAAATTTCGTCTATTTTCCCCACACTGGGCCATCTCGCATTCAATATGCTACCATCCTAAACAAACCATATTCGTTGATTTTTATATGCAATACTAAAAATCTATAACGGTCCGTTTTAATGCTGAAACCACTTACTTTACCAACAAGTTCCCATACATGTTCGCAAACGTGCGGACAAATGGGAGATAAAATAATTATTTGAAGTTCTATGTATTTCATAATGAGCGTCCAGTTGATACCATCAAGTGCACTCAATTGCAAATACTTATCTCTGGCCGCTTGAAATTCGAAAAATCCTGTCTTTAATGCCTCTTTATAAAGCATTTTTGCATAATTTTCGCCAGTTTTACGTACTTTCCAATTCATCTCGCTGCGTCCAATAAATGTATGTATTAATTTAGTTCTATATATAATGCTATAAAAATATAAAAGAAAAAAAATACCTTTCAAATACATTATCATTAAAAGTATGTGGCGCATCGTGTCTGAACAAATTTTTCGATTTCAACACTTCTTTGACCCATTCTATAAAATTGTACAGTCTAAGAATTCCCGCATCGGCTGTACTTTCAACGAAATTGGCATCCTCTATCGAATCGCCAGAATCAGCTAGACAGAGACGCATTCCATCAGCCGAGAATTTTTCCACACTTTCGACAAGCGTTAAAAAGTTACCCTCTGACTTGGACATCTGTGTGTTAAAATAACAATTAAAAATGTGCATAAAGGAAATATTTCGAAATGTTTATCAATATATTACCTTCGCTGAATTTAAAAGTAGATGACCGTTTGCTCTTATTCCTTGCGGCCACATTTCAGGTTGATTCGGCCATATCGCTGTATGATTGTAAAGGAAAAACGTAAGATGATTCTGTACGAGATCTTTTCCCGAAGTCCTCAAATCTACTGGATACCAGTACTGAAACTCGTGCTTCATACGTTCGAGAATTTCTTTTTTTATATTTGTCTCGGGCAGTTTCGCATCTTTGAAAAAGATATAGTCCCATACTTCTGGTGTCATATCACTAGCTCTAACAAAAACGATTCAATATTTATAGTTATAAATAAAACATAACAGTATGCAATATCACTTTTAATCTTATTTACTTTATTCCATATGCATTAGGTTTGTCTCCTTTGAAGGTTCCGCCTTGCAAGAAGTGCGCTATTGTGTAATAAGCCATGTAAATGGTAGAATCTGACAGAGATTCTATCAACCAGCTTTCATCCCACGGTAATTTCGTACCTAAAGATCTGAGAGTTAGAAAAATGACTATATCATTAGAAGAAAAATTTGCAGATAAAATATTTACCAAGGCCATATGTTCTTGAGCATGCATATTCGTGTAACCAGTCGAAGCATGCAAGAAAATTCTTTCTAACTTCATCATGGAAGGTATCGAGATTCTTTAGAGCTTCAAGTGTCTCCTTTTTCCAATTTTCTTCACCATAATCCAAGTACCATTGATTGCATAAGGCCACTACACATTTGTCATTTGATCTTGAAATAATTGTTTTTTCAGGTTCATAATAGATAACTGCTTTGCCACTGTCAATCATCTCCTTTTGAATTAGTTTCTTTACATCTTGTATCTTTTTGCCCTTATACGGACCTACTAACAGTACACCGTCGTAAAATCCTTTCAAGTACGCTATCTCCTTTGCTTCTGCAAGTTTATCCTTATCATTTTGAGATTGAATCTTTAATTGATCGTACAATGTTACTGCTATTAAATTGCCAAATTCTGGAACTTCAATGATCGGAATCTAATACATAAAATATATTAATAGTTTTATCTTACTCATCGTTCACGATTAAGCAATTTCAATTTGTTCTTACTGGATCATAGGGGAGCACCATCTCGCGGGTGATTCCATATTTCTCTCTAAGTGGCTGTTTCTTCTTTAAATCCATTAATGCGGCATAATCGTCGGGAGAATCACTGGGAACAGAAGTTACGATACCAGTACCCTTGTCTTCTTTTATCGTCAACATAGGTAATGTGTAGATTATTTTATTGAATGTGAGAGGCGCTTCCAATGCCAATCCTAATAAGTCCTGTAAAATAAGTCTTATATTTAAAAAAAATATATTAAACAATATATTAATATTTATTATACAAATAAATAGATCATACTGTGCCCTTGAATGTTCGAATAAAATCTATCTTTCCCTCTTCTTTAAAAAAGCCTTGATAAGACATATTCCTCGCCGCACGTTCAGTAGAAATAAATATCTCTCCATTTGCTAAATTATACGCTAAGTAAAGTATGTCCGGATGTAACCAGCAATTCGTTTGACCATACATTGTTTCCGGTTTCAGAGTTGCAGCTACAAGGTATACTGATTTTTTGCCAAAACCCCTGCAATATTTGCATATTTTACAAAATCTACCAAACAATTGTACTAACTTTCATAAGAAAATGGCTAGAAAAGTTATTACTTAATTTTTCTAGAACAAAGCAGTTTCATTTTGATCAATGTAAATTCCTGTGGCCCAACGCCTTCACCAGAGGATCTATCATGATCCATACATGGTTGACCATCTTTTGGTGAATAAATAGTGTATCTTTTTCCATATTTGATTTTGTTCCTCGATTGTAAATGTAGAAATTGCCAGCGTATAAAAGAGTCATAAAATGGATTTACATCTGTTGTAATAAATGTTCTTCGCCAGTCGACCTAAAACAGTATTCAAATCTAATTTAGATATGCACATTGCAAGAAACAATGTCTGAAAGTAATTATTCCATTTTGTATCTTACATGAAGACCAATAGATTTTAAGTCTTTCACAGCAAGTGGTGGAAAGTAATCTAACCAATGTGCAGCATCAGCAAAATTCTTGATTTCTTCATCTTGTAAGCCTAAACTTTGCATAATTTGCCATTGATATTTTGCCGAACTTGCTTTGGCAACTGCTTTACTCTGTAATTGACATCAATTAATAACAATATATTTTTTTAGAAATATCTATTGTGCCATTATGTTAAAATTCTTATTTTACTTTTTTTCCTTTGCTTTTATCCTTTGACACTACATCATCCACTTCTTCTTTTATCTCAATTTCTTCAGGAAACTTTGGTGGATAACCATACAGTTTCATTTCTCTTTTTAATTTATCAGCGCATGCTTTAATAGGCATACCAGTGCAATGAAAACCAAAAGGAAAGAGTACTTTCTTTCCCAAGAGACGATTGTACCGAGTAGCAAACTAAAAAATATACATATATTTAAAATAAATAAAGATAATATATAAAAACATGTATGTAAGAATATAACAATGTAAATATATACTTCGCATTTTGACAATGAAAAAGTATGACCCAGATGAAGACGACCATTCATATATGGATATGGAAAAGTTGCAAGAAACTTTTCATCCTGTGACCTTTTGCTTTGTAAAGGTGCGTCTACTTCAAATATTTTCATTGTTTCCCATTTTGTTTGTATATCTTTTTCAATTTTTTGAAGACATTCAACCTTGAAAGTTCCTTTTCTTTCTGTTGTCTGTTACATAAAAAACCACTTTATTAACAATTTAATATCAAAATAACAATATGTTGCTATAATAAAATTATATCGCTGTAATAAGTTTCATAAATTCAATAAAATGTTTAAATTCGAATTTATAAATTTACGATTTTAGAAGCCGGCGAACAGGTTAAGATAAATCTGGATGCAATTTGTGACTAAATACATGTAAATTTTTGACAGAAATAACAGATTTTTAAGACGTTAAGACTTATGTACTTACCACAATCGTAATCATGTCACAAATAGCAATTATTAATCGTAAAATATGTTTAGATAACGCACCAACCGCACACACGTGCTAATTAACAATGTGTCTGGGATTAGATATTTCCCAACTAAACTGTTGGATTTCCTGACACAACAGGAAACAATGGTATACTCGAGAATCTTGATATAAAAAGAATATACATTAGAATGGTTAAGTGAATAAAAAAAGTTAAGATAAAAAAGGTTAGAATATCAATTTTATTTTATATTTAAATCTGGAACGTAAAAAAAGTTTAGATAAATTTTAGAACTTTTGAAATGAAATCCATTTGAACTAGATACCTGACTAATTCCTCTAGTATGCATAAATATCCAGGTTCAGTTTTTATTCCGCCACAATACGGAACACGTGTAACGTACACTGCATTCAGGTAGAACTATCAGACTGTATCAGACTGAAGAGTCTTTACGCGCTGTACAAAGCGTTCTGCGAACGGTTTGAAGAGCATTCTATCAGCGCTATTGCGTCATTCTATCTTTATCGCTCATTAAACGTAAAACAAGGACGCAGAGTATAACAAATTTATACATATCGTCCCATACTCATTTACTCTGCATATAAATTCGTAGAAGTGCAGAAATGTAAGCAAAAATTGATACATTATTGTTATGGAATAGATATATGGAATAGATATATAAAATAGATACATGGAATAAAGCTAATGCAGTAGCTTGAATTTATTCATGAGCAAATAATTATTTAGTAGAGAAATATATTCTCTACGTATCACACATCATGTGATGCAATACATATAAGTATTACAATTTTCTGCTAATGCAATATGTAGAACGTTTCTACATCCAATATAGAATTATAAAAAAATGAATAGAGCAGTTGAAGGAAAGATATTTTATATGAAACACTTTATTTTTTATACTTTATACAAAAATTAGAAATAAATTAGAAATTAGCATAGAATATAATAAAATAATTTATACTTTGATTAAGTTTTTATTTAATTTATTAAGTTTCTTAAATATTGTAAATATAAAAGACAAAAAAATCATAGAATTATGGAATAAATATGTGCACATATATGTATATACATATATGATCTTTATTCTTTTACATTCGTTGAACAGGTTTTAAGCCTAATAAAGCAAAGCATTTTTCCAAAACGATTGCAGTAACTTCCGTGAGCAAAATACGACCCATATGTATTTTCACAATCACACCAGCTTGATCCTTTTCCACACAATAGCATTTGTCATAAAATTCCATAAAAGCGCACGAAATTTCATAACAAAATTCACACAATGGATGCAAAAACAAATCTTGACTAATACTCAGAATCACATCGGGGAACTTTAATAGTACTTTGGCCAACTTCCATTCTTTTTCGTGCTCTAATGATATCGGAATATCGTGAACACGTTCCCGCAATTCCTCTTGCGTAATATTCGCTGTTCTAGCAATAGAACGAATTCGAGTTAGAGCATACAGTAAGTAGACAGCTGTGTTGCCTTTGTCTTCCAACATCTTGTCGAAGGAAAATACATATTCGTGATTTCTATTGTGCAACAAATCGGCATATTTTATGCAGCCATATGCCACGGATTCTTGGGCCGTCTTCAACTCTTCTTCAGATAACACTTTGTCACGTTCTTTCTCTTTCAATTTCTGCAGTGCCCTTTTCAAGCCTGGATAAAATAATATATGGTTATTAAATTTTTAGAAATAAAATACAAGATAACGATATTATACTTGTGATTAAGTTTATTTTATCACCTTCATCTAGTAGCTCGGTAAGCTTTACAGTATCACCGGACCTGGTTTTAAATTTCTTCTTATCTTCGCCCAACACAACACCGAAGCCGACATGATCTATCCTGTGGAAGTCTTTTAGAATATCTGCTCTTTTAGCGCAACTTATTAACATTTGAAAATGCAGAGATTGACCAGCATCGGTGACATATATCACCTGTAAAATTACGGAGTTTTGTTATAGAGGATAATCTAATGATAAAATCTAATAATAAAGTGATATCTATAATGAAAAACATGATACTTGCCCACTCTGCTTTTTCTTCCTCGACACGTTGCTTAATAGCAGCCATGTCTGATGTGTCATAAGTAAAACCACCATCTGATTTTATAATAGTTAAAGGTATTCCATTACCATGTTTCTCTCCCCACATCACCTTCCGCCCATTATCTTCTTCTAACAAATTCTTTGATTCCAGTTCTTTAACTATTGATTCCATACGCTTTTGATAGAACGATTCGCCCCTTTCTATCAATTTAATGTCTAGTCGAGTATATACTTTCTCAAATTCTGCATCAAACAAAAAGTAATTATGAAGAAGTTATTCTTTCCATAATCAATAACTATTAAAAGAAAATAGATGAGAGCGTGTTTTACCCTTTCTAGATACATCACAAATCATTTTCCAGGCTTTTGTTATATCAGGTTCAAAAGCTTGCAATTTAACAACACATTGGTATGCACGTTTTTTAAATTCTTCGTCTGAATCAAATCTAGTCTTAGATTCTTTGTAGAAGGCCTGTGTATATATGAATATAATATATAACTTATTAATATATTTACTTATAAAATAATTTTATATTATATGATTATATATATGTATAGTTATACATATAGATGATATTATATGTATTCACCTGAAGATCTTGGATTGGAGGAGTAATCGTTGAATAGTTAGGAAATTTGTCTTGAAGATGTGCTATTAACATACCAAACTGTGTGCCCCAATCACCTACATGATTGAGTCTTAACACATCGTGCTCTAAATATTCTAAAAGCCTAGAAATACTCTCTCCAATTATAGTCGATCTTAAATGTCCTACATGCATTTCCTTAGCAACATTGGGACTCGAAAAATCCACAATCACTTTCTTTTTCTTAACATATGGCGGAGGAACTTTGTTCATCTTCAGCCAACTGCTCAAAGTAGATTGTCCAAAATCACGTTTTAAGTATATATTTATAAATCCTGCGCCAGCTATTTCATATTTATCAATAAGAACAGATTTTTCTAACTTTGACATAATATCGTTAGCAACATCACGTGGGTTTTTCTTAGTGCCTCCTATAATAATAACATATCATATGATTAATGTATAATATAATATATATGTACGTATTGTGTAAATTAAAATACAGAAGAGATTGATCATTACCAGAACTCAATTGTCGCGCTAAAGGCATAGCACTGTTACATTGATAATCCCCAAACTTGGGATTATTACTAGTAGTTACTATCACTGGTGGATTTGATACGTTTGGATAAGCTTCATTAATAGCCTTTTGAAAGATTTTGCAAAGAGTGTTATTTATACTGATCACATCGTTGCTTTCAGATATGTTAGGCATTGTAGACGATTTGTCTTTTAGTGTTTCTATAGTCTAAAAAAAATAATGACAAAGAACGTAAGGACATTTGAGTAATTAAAGAAATGGTAACTTTGTTATAATATAAATTTTTATGCTATTAAAGACCTACCCTTTTGAGTATCTCTAGTCTGTGTTTCAGCTTGATATTCTCTTGTTGCAGTTTTTCAATCGTCTTTTCTTTTTCTTTTATCAGCAAACATTTAGTGCAAACATATTGGGTATGGTACAACAATGCAATTTCACGCTTTATTTCACGGATTCCTTCCTCCTGTAAAATTAGATAAATGAATCGTAAAACTGCCGTCTAACCTAGCAGATGTGATAAGCGCCTTTAAATTATCGCAGATTTACAACATAATATTATATTAAAAATTAAACAGAGGCATTTACCGCTGCATCAGCCCGTTTGTGAAATTCTTCCAATTCTGATGCCAACATCGTTTTAACGCTTTTCGTTTCGCGAAACGTACTCAAGAGATACTCACGTGGTAAACTTGAAAGCGGCACCGTCGACAAAAGGCCAACTCGCCAATTAGAAACTTGGTTAATTAAAAAGGAAATATCGCAGTGAACGTCAATGAAATGTATTCAAAAGAATAAAACTCTATTAGCACACATTAAAACATTTACACACATCAAAATTTCTATTAAAATAAAAATTTTCAATATAGAAATTTACGAAAGAAAGAGACACAGCTAATCTGCTACCTTCTTCCTCAGTCTGTGGCTTAAAACTAGTTTTACAACCGTTATATAGGTCTAAGATAAAAACAAAATAACAAATAAGTATTATTTTCAAAATTATATTAATTATCCTTTCATAATGATTTAATACAATTTTTATGTCAATTATATTTTCTTATATGCTTCTATTTTTAAAACATATTTTAATATTTTATGAAAATATGAATATCATTAATCAAATTATATTATAGCAAAAAAGCTACATGCAAAATAATGAATAAAAAAGAAAGAATGAGATAATGTAGTGATATAATTTTATTTATTATAAAAAATAACTTTATTTTATTAATTTCAGAATCTGGAAAGATACACATGTGCTGTTAACTGCATACATTTATATTATTTATGTATAGTTCTACATATATAGAAAAAAATATTGATAAGATGTTTACTATTGTTTAATATATTAAAGATATTTTAGAAAAAAATAATTTTATACAAAGTATATATATATATATATATATATAAAATAAATAATAAAAAAAGATACAATAAAAATACACTTTTTTATATCAATCATTTATTTTCTCCATACAAATTATAAACATGTTTTTCAAATACTGTACATATACTGAGTTCTATTATATTTTTAAACCTCTAATTTAATGATATATCATTTCATTTATTTTCATTTACTTGTTAAAACAACTACTTTGATCCTCATTTCATTTCATTTCATTTATGATAATATACAGGTAGATTTTCTTGTTTCCTTTTTTTTCTCTGATCAATATTTTTTAATCATCTTTACAATCAAGCTCAATTCTTTGATATGGCAGTTCCAGGATATGAATAAATAGAATTTCAAAGGAATGCAAAATTTTGGAGGTTTCGTCAAATAAATTAAGAGGCCAATTGTACAGTCAATATTTTCATAGAGATAAAATTGAATTTAACGAGACAAAAATATAACAAGAGCATTTTACTCTTCTGTTATACTCATCGATAAGAGTTAAGAAATAAAGCAACTACGCATGAATTATTTAATAAATCTTATTCATCCAGATATTATACATGCATATAACTGTCCAATGATACAATACTGAAATAAACGATAATAGAAAATATGCTAAATAAAAATTAAACATAACCATCTATTTTTGTATTAAAATATTGCATGTATCATCTCTATGAAAATATTAACAATTTTTATACATTTTAATTTCAAAATATAAAAGTGGATTTATAAGGAGCTGCAAGCCAAAGGTTTCTCTTCTCGCGCGAATACTTATTACAAAAATGTAGCTGCTGGAACTTGAACAATTTCTCATGGTCTTCGTGTAAATATGTACAAAGATATTTAACAAATTTGATCGTATTGTATGTATTGTGTACATTGTGTATGCGAGTTGTTCCTTTTTCTTCTTTTCCTTAGTCTACTTCTGCGTTTTGTATTTCTTTTTTTTGTCGGGCCTCGATTTCCGATATCATCGATATAGAGTGAGAGAGTACTATTTTCTATCTTCACAGAAGACATAGATAAATATATATTTTTATAATCTTTCCTTATAAATGTAATTCGCTTATTTTAAAATCATTACGCGTAAATGTTAATAATATTAGTGTCGGTGCTCCTCTTTTTCAGTTTCATACTCCTTCCATTTGTCTTCGAATTTCCATTCCAAAATAAAAATCTGTACGACGGAACCGAATTCCTATGAGTATCTTTCAAAAATATTGCGCAGTTTTGAAAACAATAATGTATTACTAAGAAATTCGAAGTATAAGCACAAATTCTATTTTCATCCATCATAAACATATAACATTACGAAAACGTTACGTGTTATATTTATCGAAATTACAAAAATTGCAAAATAAAAAACTTTGTTTCTAATGGATACTAACAAGCAAGGTATCGCATAAAACTTATTCGCATATAACATGGCTGTGGTTACAATTCCAGTTTGATTGTGATTTGCAAAATCACAATTTATATTGAAAAAAGATGCAATAAGTAATTAAAAAAAAACGAAATGATGAATTACTACTGACTAATATCTATTTGAGAGAAATGCTGCTCAGAATCACTCTCACGAAAGTCATACAGACAAATAGAAATACCACTAGAAAGTACTACAAGGTAGTACTCTTTTATTCCTCTCACTTTGAAGATCACTCTCAAATGGATACTAGATAAACGAAAAAAAGAAAAAAGAAAACGGTAACAATAAGTAAAAGATATGAAAGCTGCCAGTTTTCAAACAAAAAAAAAAACATTCACATATTAAACATAAATTCTTTTCTACTCCAGTCAACCATATAGTAAATTCACTTCTCATCTCAAATAAAAAGCGACATATTTCTGACTAAAAGAGAGATCAAAATACATTGCCACTTGTTCCGTAAAAATTAAAGTAAGAATACAATGGCTTAGTTTACAATTGTTTAGTACGCGTACCAAATACTAAATCTGCTTCTCCGATAGATATAAATCGTTTAGCGTAAAGTCTACACCAATCAAAGAAGCTGCTTTAGCACTTGGTACGCGTACTAAACAATCGGTGTAAACTAAGCCAATAAGTAATATTATCTTCTTAAAATATACACGATCTTTTCTTTCTTATGTTAATGTTCACTGCTCGATAGGCAAGTCCTTGTTTCGGGAACACACAACAGCTCGGATTAAAGAATAAGTAAAAATTTTCTGTGTATTTACACAGAATAGTCTATATGAGAGATGCGATTAAATAAAGTCAACTGCAGGACATGATCTTCTACTTGTTTAAACAATTGCCATTGAATTCATGAAAAATCTCTGTATACGAATTCTCCATGGTCCATGTATGTCAAAACGTATAAATTATATTATTAAGTACGAAATGTTTCGCAACAGAGCATTGATCTGTTATCAGTAATCTAAAAAATACTTTTAAAGTACAGAGATTTGTTATGCGGCATTGAAATCATCATAGAATTATCAAAGAATGTATTATAATTAGAATATTAACGCTCTGTATATTACGACGAGGCCGCCATATGTCTTATTACATGTTTCGAGATAGATTTCAATACACTCCTGGTGAAAAATGCCAAGGTTGAGTTTCGGAGAAATCTAAGTTCCTATCACATAATTATATATTCCATGATGGTGATCTGTTCTTCGATCGACATAATCAATAATAATCTGATATATCGGTTTGTAAGTGTAGTAGAAAGATAAAAACAAACAGAGTACGCTAAGTAAGAAAAATCATCCATCAGTAAGAACTATAGAAAATGACCTTAGAATACAAAGTAAGGCGATTATAAGAAATACAAACACATCCCTCTAACCTAAGTGTCGCTGCCTAAAAAGAGTGGGTGGGTTTGCACATTATCAAGTGCATTTTAAAAGATCGTATTTTAAAAATATATGTGTAAGTGTGATCATCATTCTTCTCTTTCTATCAATTTATTCATTGAAGATTAATTCTCATAATGATGAGAGTTCTCGTATGATATAGAAGCAATAATGATAAGAAAAGCAATTTTGCTAAACAGCTTAAAGAAACTCTTGTTGATAAACTTGATATATGATGCTTAATTTTTCTTGATCTAATTTTGATAATTAAAAATAATATTTAACTGCAATGCAATGTAGCACTTAAAAAGTCATAATGGCATATCTCTCGGTCACAAACCTCCATTTCTTTTAAAACTTAGAAATCACTTAGATAACTTTATACATGTTCATTTATAACAATGTAAATCGTAATTGCATTAGTATTTAACATAGATACTCTTATTCATATGTATGTATATTTGTGTGTGGATGTCTTGTCGGTTCTATATCGTCTAATTTAATAATAAAACTATAATACTAAATCATGTTGGGGGTACCATGCCTTTCCGAGGTCAGAGTCTGTTTCTTCGTTTTTCTTTTTTTTCCCGCTTTTGGTGCATGCTTATATCTTTACGCAGTATTATACCAAAATTTATTGTCAATTTTAACTTAATTTATTGTATATATCCCCTTTATTAAAATCCCGACGAACCAATTCGCCGATCAAATGGATGATGATTGTGTGATCATAAAATATATATATATATATTATACATATGATTACATCTATTTTATTATAAAATTTATAACTGTGTGATATATTAAAGACATGTTGTGCTCAGCATACATGCAAGAATTTCTTCTTACAGTACGTCAAGCGCTTAGACCCAATAAGTTTTTAAAAGTATAAACTTTGAATCAAACTCAAGCTCGGGCTGGCCAGTACTCTATCGTACGTGTGTGTACATATATGTGTATTAGAGTCCTTTTAAGGAGTTTCACGGAAAACGTTCGCAATACATTTTCTCTATTTTAGTTTGCAATGTTACATATGTTACGCGAGTTTAACGATGAAAATGAGACATTTGGAGCAATTACGATATTTATTATACAATACTTAGAATTCCGTGCCTTTAAATTAATTTGTCTGTCGGATCGAGGACGCTACATTTATGACACCCATTATTTGCCCAGTATTTACACCCGTTTGGAGAGTAATTTTCTTCACACGTCATCGATCGAATATTTTCCATCGAAACTCACCTAACTATGGACGCGAAAATATTCTTGCATCAGTGTAAGCGTAATTACACCGACATATTCACGCAATATATCGCGCGCGCGCGCGTTATGTATGTTATATGTATGCATGAGAGTGTATGTGTGTACTGTATGTGTATTGTATTCTGTTTTCACAATATAATCATATATGTATACGCGTATGGATGATTTTTATGTGATGGTAGGCACTGATGGGGGTGGATGGCTGCATGGCGAGCAGGTTCAAGCAGGCTAGTCTTGGACCAATCTGTATATGTGATGCTGAGCACCGTGTTCAGATGTTGAAACTTCGAACACATATGCCGTACACAATAATGTTTCCTGCGTATCCCTGTTCGTGACAACCTGGGAATAGACAAAAGTCAGAAAAACATCGTGGCTACTAAAATGTAGATTGAAAGTATTTGTAACAAATTTTTTTTAAACTTGAAATATCTCTGAAACTATGGGAAACTAAGGGATAGTTAATAGGATGTTTTTGAAAGTTCTTTTCAAGTCCTTTCAAATGCATTATTTCATCGATCTTAGCAATTTTAACGGCCAGAAGACACCGAATCGTGTCTTCGAAAAATTGGAGGACGCGATTAGATGTCCTTCAATTTTATCAATAGCCAGAAAATGTCTAATCGTGCCTTCGAGAAATTTAGACGCGATTACACTTTTTCAAAGACGCGTAATCGCGTCTAAATTTTTCGAAAAAGTAAATAACATGTCTCTTTTAACGTAGGATAAATTGAAATAAAATCAAATGCAATTGTAAAACTATGAATATGAGTTTTAGATTAATAAGATTCATGAGTATATATAGTTAGAATTTAATAAAACAGATAAGAATTTGAAATAGCTCGGTACAGAATGACTTAGCATTTCAAATGATTTACATATTAGAAAATCACACGCAAGAATTAATATTAATGATAATATTGTTAACATACCTGGAGGATGGTGAAGTTCTCGAGAACGCTGTTCATCATGTACTTCTCTGGCAGGTGCTTCAGTTTGTGGATGAAATTTATCATATACTCGCACATAGGTGAACGGCTAATACGGTAAACAAACCTGCCATTCTCAAACCTGGCGTATTCCGTCTCCACCTTCTCCACCACCTGTTTTCCGAAGGAGCATACTTTCGTCGAACACGTTATCGTCATGTTCTCGTTGCTCTCATATCTATCATAAAAAAAAAACAAAAAAACAAATGTAGTGCAAACATTACGTAAGATTAAAGTAGTGTAATCAAAAATCAGACATTGTTACTCACTGGCTCGTGACGCCGTAGAATGCTCCAGCTTCGTCCTGGATGTTACTATTGAGATCAGCCCAAAATTTAACGAGGAAAAAGGCCGCTTGCGGTCCTTTGTCATAAAGTTCCTTGAGGCCGCCTTTTTTCTCCGGGAATTTGTCATATATCTGTTTAACGTCGACCGCTTCTAGCAGAGGATCCGCGTAAGTTGCAGAACCTCCTATATGGACGAACAAGTGTTTGTGGTACTGAAAAAAAATTCACGCACGTATGAGTGACATGTTCTGTTATTGTAAATGTACATTTTAATATACGTCTATATTTTTATGCCTTAGAATTTTATGTCATGTCGTTCGGCAGACCTTCACTACAATGCATTGAAATCTTGTATCTTAAAGAAAGAAATGGTCTGGAATGTTAAAATGTATAGTCTATTCATTTTTATGCCTTATAATGTTATATTATAACATTTATTAGGTTAGAACTTTAGAATGTACATCTTCTTTCCTGTGATACATTAAAATTTTATATTTTAAACAATGAAATGGTCTAGAATTCTAGAATATAAGATTTCAATGCATCGCAGTAAAGTTCTAGGCCTGTCACGTGATATGATGTAAAATTCTAAGGCATAAAAATAAATAAAATGTACATGTTAACATTAATTATACATTTGTAATTTTTTTTTACAGGATTCCAATATAAAATATGACTTTCTGTCAGTAAAATGTAATGCTTTTGCAGCATTTTTTATCTCGAGTTTGGCTCGAAATTTGTTTTCATAATTAACACATATTATTCACGATTAATATGCTACTCACAATGTCCTGATCTCTTTGCTGTTCCATGTAGGCCGAAAATTCGACGAGCCTGAGCTTGTGAGTCGCGATGGCTCGTCCTTCCCATGGCGGTGGAGGTTGCGCCTGGACTATGTCTCCGCTCGAGACTGCCGTCGCCGGTTTGCCGGTGTAGGCAGGCTGAGGGAACGGCTTGACATCCTGGGATGTTCCCGGTTGCAGGCCTGGCTGCCAGAATTGCTAAAAATATATTGCAAAGTTAAATTTTTAAAGACAGCACGCAAGTGTCGACAATTAGCGATTAGCGATCGGCCAATTTTTGCACACGTGACGTTCATTACTAATGAATGATTCGCTCATTGTTACTTAATGGACGCTATATAATTGATGATTTAATTACCAAACATGTTTGCGTCAGATTTGAATAGTAATGTGATTGCACTATGCTGTGTTAATCGCATTAGTGTCAAGAAATAAAATAAAAATAATTAAGCAAAGAAGTTGACGAATCTATTTCTCCTGATTTGTTGAAAAAATTGTAAAAAGTAACTTTTCAGAACAATTGTTTGCACTGTGTAACTTATTATTTCGGCGCAAAAAAAAGGAAGATTTACAAAATCTTTTCCGCAAGCCATCGAGCCGTCGGGCGAGAAACAAGCGATAGGAAATGAAACGAATGAAAAAGAACAACAACAAACGACTAGTATCCGTAAAAAGACAAAAAAAAAAAAAAGAGACAGTTTGGTAAGCCACAACGACGTTTCTCGTTATGCAGGTACGTCCAATGTACGCATACATATGTAACCTGCGTGTATACGGTACATGATGCCTAGGTAATACATATGTACAAGATTAGAGCGACGGACAAATATCAACAATACACAACAAGGGCCCCCAGGGGCAGCGTAGCAGCAGAGCAGGGAGGTATCACTTTTGCAAGGGATGGTTAGTCCTAAACGCAAAAGCTTCCGCACGATGAAGAGAAGAAAGTGCGCAATTGACGCTACAGAGAACACCCCGCTTATCCCGCTTTCTTTCGCTCTTGTTCTTTCTTAATCCGATACGAAAAAAAGCGCGATAGAACAAAACACGATAGCAAAAAAGCAAAAATATAATTTTAAAAATAAGAGAAAAGCTATTCACCGCCTGTATTTGATCAATATTTTCTTTTCGTTATTTTGTTTTTTTTACACGACAAGATAAAAGTTGTACCGTTAAATCGATCGAATAATTCTTTTGGCAAAAACGTACTTTGTTTAAACATATCAAACACAATTTTAATTTATTTGATGTTGACAAATTTGTTATAAATCATTGCACGTTTATTGCATTATATTTATAGAAACTGATGCTACACATTTCCATTGAAACCAATAGCTTATAAATATGTGTTTTTTTTTCTCTAAATGTAACGATGTTAAAATTGATGCCATTCGCTGTAATCTTTCTGGCGCGACGTTTTAATTGCACGATATTAATCTCAAACTCTTGCGAAATACAAAAAAATTTATAAGTCAATCGACAAACCACACGGCAGTGATTGCTCTCGACAGGCGGATTAGCGGTTATCGGGCAAAGCGGTTAGGAACAGTCACGAACTTCAAAAGAAGAAGTCAAACCGACAGTACTAATAACAAAAGTAAAGTTCGTATCTCCTCAAAGACGACGAGACATTTGATGTCTTTCCTACGAAGCTTTCAATCTGTTAATATATGAATAGTATTACATAAATCGAGTGTCACAGTATGTACATCATGTATTACATTTTATAAATATATTATTTATTAGTCACTGAATCACAAAGAACAGTATTTTTCTCTATTTTTTTTGTTTAAACGGGTAATATCCGTCATTTGCACGTCAATGCTTTTATATATTGTAAAGTTTACCTCTATTTTCTTTAATATTAAAAATATCCGTATATCCTAAAGATTAAACACCGCAATACTACTTGAAAAATTTTCTTGGAAAGTTTTTTTTAAAAAATGTTCCTGGGAACAAGAGAATATTGTATAAAACCAATGTGTTTAATAACGAGTTTAGTTCATATTCAGCGCTTAGTTAAAAACGATCGACGAAACTCGATTAAAGAGTTAGTAAAATGATTACCAAACCGGAAGGGATCGCAGTCGTTTGTTTCACTTAAAAGCGATTGATCATGCGAAACCGCTATTACGATGATCGACTTGATTAAACTGCATTTTACGGCGTCTCGTCGTCTCACCCTAAAGCTCGTGGCTCTTTTGAAGAGAAATGCCGATAAAAAAAAAAAATGTCTCAAGGGATTTCTTCTCCGAGATCAGGACTTACCGCTCCGGGATAGGACACAGGGGTGGAAGCATGAAGGGCAAGGGGCCCCACGAGGGCGGGGGGCATCTTGTTGTGTATCGCACTTCCTGCTGATACTATCTGGGCGCTCGACATGCTCGACATTGTCTGGAGCGCCTTCTCCTTGGCGGCATGATCCTGACAAATTTTCAGACCGATTAGCAGTCCCGGATGAAGTAATGTTCATATTATCTAATCCTTTTTCTCAATTCTAAACGCTCGAGAAAAGTCGTCGAAACTAAATTCATTAATAGAAACTCTCTATTAGGGAGTGGAACGATCAAATAAAATTTAATAACAGATTCAATAAATTTGCAGTCAATTGTTCTATTAAAAATATTTCGCTAAGAACCAAAACATTTTTGAACGTTTAACTTTAAACATTTTTGTAATTAAAATATGTATAATATGCTAAATGTTTCTAAAAAAGCAAAGCTTGTATAAATTTCACAAAGAGCTTTTTATTTTTAAATCATTTAAAAAACAAAAACTGCTCGCGTTTTTATAAATTAATTAAAGCTAAATCAACTTTAAATAATAAAATATGTTATTCAAGGTATCAAAGCATCCCACAGTTATATTTAAATTAGTAGAAATGAGTATGTGTTTTCTATGAAGTAATTTATAACAAAATGTTGAACAACAGAACAAATATAAGTATTTGTAATTAAGATTTGATAAAAATATTTAATATAAAAATCAATTCATCCTTATTGTTAGATTGATCTTTAACTGCATTTTCTGTAAATATTAGTGCACATTTTTTATGAATTATTTCGTGGAAGGACAAAACGCGATGTAAAACGAAAAATCGAGGAATTCGCGACATCCAGGACTCGTGATATCAATCAACAGTCGGCGGATAAATTCGTAACATTCTCAATGATGCGAATCAATTTGCCGCTCCCGGACGCGCGATTACCAGCGTCCCTTTTTTCTCCCTATGGTTATTTTTTTTTTTTTCGTTCCCGTCCATCGCGCGCTGCACCGCACGCGATGAAATCGATCGCGATCGCGCAATGCAGTTGATTGCAGAAACAACAGCAGCGGCGGCGAGTCCGGTTGCAACAGAAATTCGCGGGAATTCGGCGCGCTTTTATCGGAAAGCCGTCGTTTTAATCAGCGCCCGACCGAAAATCGCTGACGAGGCGAACGAGAGGTCGTTCGTTGCCGTGACGTTCGGAAAATTGCCATGTCCACCACCACCACCATCATCAAACTCCGCATCGATTTACCCCTCGCGCCTCTTCATCGCACTCACTCTCTCATCCCCGTCCTCACGAGGGTGCGGGGATTTTCAATTTCGTTCATAAATCCGTAATGGAGGAGTCACTACGAGTACCGGTCGACCGGAATGAAGCGCCGCCCGCGTAACGATGCAATAAAGAATTTAGCCGACGGTGCGACCGAAAATCACGAGTTACATTTTGCTCTCGACATTGTTTACGCCCCTCGCGTGTCTACGTCAAAATACACAGAATATCCCAGAGAGCTGTCGCCGTTCCTATTTTTTCGATCAATTTGCAAGTGAATTTTGTTTAATGAAATTGTCGATGCATTAGCGTATCTTTGACTCGGAAATAAAGGACTCAATTCAAACTAAACATTTTCCAACTGCATTTAAACAATAGAAACATTAATTTTCAATTAACTTTACGTGAATTTCGATTTAACGGAATTTTAAATTAAATAATGTTTAAAAGTTCAGATATTTAGCAACACGTTGTACTATATCGTCAATCGAATTGGGCTTACACATGCTTACGCTTTAATATAAGTACATTAAACAAGCAAGCACTGACAAGTTGAGAATAAAGCCATAAGAAAGAACTTTAGAATTTGAAAAGAGAGGATTCGAATCTCAATAAATTCGATAAACTAGAATTTAATTAGAACTGAGCTTTTTCATCGTGATGTTAATTGTTGGCGTATTTAATACTTTTAAAATTAATTATAGAATAATCATAAGGCACATTTTATCAAGTGCAAAAGAAAAAATAATCGTCAGATTCACTATATCAAAGCAACAACTGTATGACTTTAAAGATGAGTTTTTCTGCAAATGATTATTTTTAGCACATTAACCACTAATCAGTTACAATTTTTCTATATTTTTAACGATGAATTGTTTATTGAAACAAAATAATATTGCAATTTTCAAAATAATTGACATTAGAACGACAGATTTGAAAAATAAGACTCAGTTATATATATTAAATTATTATACATATTCGCAGATTAGAAATGCACGTAGAAATTGTGCTTTATTGTCATAACTTTCACAATATTGTTCAATCTTGTAAGTTACGATACGACAATAATTATATATATATGCAGCATTATAAAATTATCGGACATTTAAATTATTGATTTGTTCGTGTTTATTTGGTATACTTGGTGATATAATCAAGGTAATATCCGAAAAATTTGACAGATTAACCAGTGCGTAAGGTCGATTTGCAAAACAGTTTTCGGCCGTGCGCGAATTTTGCCGGGTAGAATGTAATTTTTTATGAATGTTGGATGACATCGATTACCCGCGAAAAGTCCATTTCGCTGTGCGGGCCGTTGTTCACGTTGTGCGGAGCGCGTGCTGAATTTGCAGCGGAAAATCAATTCGGTTAATTGAGAGGGTGCAGTCCGTGTCGCTTTTTTTAATTTCCACCCTCCGTCCCACACGCCACCTCGCGTTCTCTATCTACCTCTCTCCCTTTCTCTCTCTCCTCCTCTCTCTCTCTCTCTCTCTCTCTCTCTCCTCTCTCTCTCTCTCTCTCTCTCACCCTTCATCTCTCGAATACACGCCAGGAATGCAGAGGATTGGGCGGGTAACGGGGTTGGACATGTTTATCGACATTCTGAAACGCTGCTCGCCCGTTTTTGGGCACCTCCCCCTCCTCCCTCACAACCCCATCCTATAACCGTTATAACCCTCGCCCACCACCCCGTTATCGGGAGTACGTTTACACCGCAACAATTAATTACGCTGTAATGCTCAGTGCAATTATTTCCAAAATAGATAAAACGGCGGACGATCTCGATAGACTGTGATAGTCGGTGTAACCTTGTTTGATGGTCGGCGCGTGTAAAATTTGCATGCACAAAAGCTAAATCAAAATTGCGCAGAACGTAATACGCGTCGTTAACACAAAGAAAATAATAGATGTGCCGGAAAAAAATACAATGGGGAATTAAAACTGAAAATTCTAGAATTATTTATTCGGAAAATTTAACGTTTTCATCGTACGTTTTGGTGAACAAGGCAAAAAACCCAAATATCATTTCCTCTTTGAATATTGTTTTCCTCTTAATTCTATAATCTGACAGAAGTGCATTTAAAATACGAAGCTGGCAAGAAATAATTATTATATTTGATATTTCAAAAAGGAATAAATTTCAACTTTTATTCGAAATACTTTACAAAAAATCTGTGTCGCTAAAATTGAATATTTTACGCAATCAGATTTGATTGAAAAAAAAAAGCCAATGACAAAATCTCTTACCGAATGCTTGCCGGATTCTTATCACAATTGAGTTGCGCGTGTTTCAACAAGATAAATAGTTTCATTTAAACCAACGCTATCTCGTTAAAATATACAAGATACAAGACCAAAGAGCGCGCAATTTGCATAAGACGGTGCGTGAAACACGAATGCCGCTCGCGGAATTCTTTTCCTCCCTGGCCGCATAAATCGCGCGATCTGCAGCCGCAGGGGGTAGCAATCTCCCCTCGAGCAACAAGCAAAAGCCGCGATGCGACGCAGCGCGGCGCGGCGCGGCGTTCACCCTTCCTGAAACGCGGAAACCAGAAAATTACGTCACGGTGGACCGTACCCTTCCCGCGTCCGCTACTTTCCTGAATAATGTTCGCGGTATGCGGCCACTGCAGTTGCAGTCGCTGCAACTGCGGCTGACCGTGTTTAAAAACGGGAACCCGCGCAAGTATTTCATAAATGGCACCGTAGCACGAAACCGCGCGCGCGGAAACAGACGATATCTTATTATGCGAATGTCGCGCGCGCGCGCGCGCGAGTGTAATTAAAATTGCTCGAGAAACGCCGGTGTTTTTCTGAACTTTTCGAGGCTTCTAAGAGTCGAGGCGCAGTGAGAAATAAAAACAACGAGAAGAAAAAATTAGACATGCATATGTTATTAGCTACAAAATAACTCGCACAGCTACCAAATGTGTGATATTAAGAGCAGATTTTTTATTTAAATTTGAGACAAAACTCCTTGTAAAACAATATTAAAAGACATCATTATTTATTGCAATTTGCTCCTTTTTAAATCTAGATCTTAAAATTCAATTAAAGTTTATTTCAAATTAAATGTAAAATTTTATATCTATTCGTCTTTCAAATTTAGTTTGTCAAAACTTTCATTTTTTTTATCACTCAGCTTTCAATTTTGAATATATTTATGTCTTGACATTCTTCCATTTATCTTAAATGGTATTACTTTCGAAAAGTGGTGGTGATTATATTACGATGGTTTCAAATCGCTGAATCCTGCGCTGAATTTCACTAATTGGACAAACATCGGAGAAACAAGTAACAGATTTACATGATAATTAATTAATCATATCTATCGGCCGGGGGGAATTAAATGCTTTTGATAAATTATATTAAGCCTTTTAACTATTTGGTAATAGCGTCTAAATTACACGGAATATCCGAAAAAAATTTCGGTTTATCATCGTCGATTAAATGAAAGTTTTTTTCTTCGAACGAGAGTTTTACCGGAGTGTTGTATGCAATCGCACGGTTAATTTACACGCTCGGCTTGTTTTTCCACTCTTTTCTATTCCGAATATTGACCGTTTCTGTATAAACAATACTCTTTGTTCCTCTCTCTCTCTTTTTCTCTCTCTTTCTCTCATGCCTTCTGTCTCTCGCAATTTCACTACCCATCGGCAAAATGGAAGCACCACCGATTGCACCGCCGTGCTTTGATTTATTAACCGGCGCGCAATTGTTCGCGAATCGCTTTAATAATTCAGCTGTTGATTAAACGGGCTGGGTTCATTTTTACGCGTGATTTATCCCGCGGCAATGCTTCTCTCGATATGTGTATTCCCTCCCACTCATCGAAAATGATTCCGCAACGGCCATCGCCCGTTAATGCTCGCACATCGTCGATCGCGATTTAATATTACCACTGCTGCTGTCCGACGCAGGATTCTGCAAAAGGCGAATTGCAATACCAAAATACAAAGGTGAACCTCGATTACCGCAATATTGAGTATTTCAATCGATCAAACGATCGCTTCGATCGTTTGTAAAAGATTGTCCAATAAAAAAATACAAATCCTTCAGAAGCAGGAACTCTCGAGTTACGAATCTGCATATTCTCTTCTTCACATTTTTTTTTCATCAGAAATAAAATATTACGTGAAATCAAATTAGCTTTCATTTTCGTATGCGTCTTTCTTCCTGTATATATAATATCTCTTCTCAATCTTTAAGATTTAAAAAAATACGCGATTTTTGAAAAGTTAATGTGAAGTAATCTGTTAATCGTGATTTTTTTGGTGGAATTTCTTGTTTTATTTCATTATTTCACCCCGTAATAGAATATTATACGTAGTAAATAATCTTTTAAAATGTAACCATTCGATTATTGGAATATCGTATTTCCTAATAAATTCGGATAATCGAGGTTTCAGTATATCAACTGCACTTCGGAGAGAAATAAAAATCTGCCACTCGTCGGATTCAAATTTAATTCGACGTATCAACACGGCACGTGCAATATTTCATTCAGTATCAAACGACACGATGTGTCATTAAACATATTACAATATTGTTAAATAAGTGATCACACAATCGTGTTCGTTTCGCATTTCATTATCATAATAATATATCATATTAAATGGCTGCGATTTATCGAAATAAATTATCAAAGTAGTTACAGCATGTTACATTTACAAATAAATTTTAAACAAGTCGTTGAAAAAAAAGAAGAAGAACGGGTTGATTGTCCCTCCACGAAAGAGGCAAGAGATTCGATCCAGATATGTAATGTCAATAGATGAATTTCACGTGACGTCGGAAAGCATTAAGAGAAATAATACGGTGTCATAATAAACGCTGATTGGAAAACATACAAGTTAGAATATACTCACCACTTTAAGTTTCGCCTGTATTTCCCGGAGTTTTCTTCTCGCGAGAACTTGTATGTGTGAAGATACTTGTTTTCGCGTTCTCGTCTTACCGGTCCTCAATTTGATATAACGGGCGATCAGCTCGTTGCGACCTGCAACATGAAATTATCATGTGCATGTAGATTAAGTTTTTCTTTTCCGATGCACAATTTAATCGACTAAAATAAGCTAATAAAATAATTTGTGTAATCAGTCGTAGCAGCTTTTTGCAAAAAGAAAAGAAGCATCTACATATGGAAAAAATTAATTTAACAGTTTTTAAATAAACTTTCTGTTTAAATAAAATGTTATATTATGCAAAATATTTTCAAAATAAGAATTAAAATTACATTACTGAATAAAATATTTTGTTTCTTTTAGTAAAAAGTAATTATAAAATGGGCAATTTAATTGTCTTTCTCTTTACATAAAAAATGTAATTTTGTTGTTTTCTTTTTATATCGTTATTTTGTTCTCGTTATTCATTTTTATCTATAATTTCATTATTGATGTAGTGCACTAATTTTTCAGTATATATAATATGAAATAGTACTGAAATAAATCTTATTGCTTTAAAGACCGAAGCAAACGGCTTGAAGTGTTTTATCAAATTAGTTCTTCTATAATTAACAGCAATCAACGACTTGTCAAGTTGAGTGAGCTTTCGCAGAACTCCGCAAATACTATCTGGCCATGTTCAAACTCTCCTTTAAACTTATCTCTCTCTCCCGCTGTCTGTTCCCGTCTTTCGAATCATTTTACGAAAAATATCTGGACGCTTCAATAAATTCTGATTTTCACGTAAGAATGGAAACAAACAATTGCGGAGTCCGCAGAAGAGTCAGAATTGGTCCTGGGAAATGAAAGCTTCGTGACGAAGATTGCATTCTCGCGGGTCTCGGATGCGGGAATTCCTTCTAGAATTGACGAGAAGCAGATCGGACGGATTCAAACAAACCCTCGAACAACCGCTCGAAATAGGCTTTGAGAGGCTGCCTCGCAGAAGTGCCAGATAAAATGCGCTTTACGGTAGAATTGAACCAATCATCGACGTATTTAATTCAAGCGATTGCATTTTAAACTGGTCTGAAAGCCACGATTTATCTCGTCAGACTTTGTCCTCTTTGGTTTCACTATATTATCGTAACTCAATATGTGATATCAATTTTGTAGCTGTTATTATTTTTACATAATTTATGTAATGAGTCAAATAAACAATATAATTTTATAATTAGAATAACTTGTTTGTACATCTGTGCGCGCACGTTAATTTTTGAGATTATTTGTGCTCGCGAATATTTTATATTTCTCTTACTTTAATCGTTTTCACTCGCTATTTACATAAAACATAGTAAAACATGATAATATAAATTGTAATATGACACAATATTTACAAAGATACATACATATCAATACTCATAAAAATATTAATTTCTATATATTTTTTTAAATCACTGAAGCGGTCAATTAAAGTGATAAATAATTTCGCAAAATAAATATTTAAGTGGTCGATAATCTGATCACCGATAGCATAGATTGCCTCGACATTGCAGGGAACTCTAAACCGCGAACAATTTACGTGATTGCGTGAAAAAAAAGCAGCTTTAACCGATGTGTGCGCGAAAAGAATTTTGCGTAAAATTCGCAGCTAAATTTAGCAGGTGATAAAGCGCGCTCGTCATAAATCCTAATTAGCGCGGGAGTACATGTGAAAGCACGTACGGAACGGCATTTTAAAGCGTCGTTTGGCGACTCAATCCAGTGGATATCCGCGCGAAGTTACGCGGTCGTGTAACTCGCGACGCGGAACGATAACGAGCATAATAAATCGTAATGAGCCGAAACGAGCGGGAAGCGAAACGGGAAAGAGGCGGGAGAAACGTTCCGCGAGATGGGACGAGATGAGAAAGAAACCGAATGCTTTCACTCGATTCGCCCGGTTACACGCGAATATAAACCGCTCGAAACTGCCGATAACGAGAGACGGCCGATTTCGGAATGGTGAAAAGAACCGGGAATCGATTCGAATGAGCGGGGGCGCATTCAGGTTTCATCGCGTTCGATGAAAACCGAACGGCCTCCACTGGGTTTAACAACACGAATATTCCATTTGCGCGCTCCATTCCATTTTTTTATACAACAATGCACCGCGCGCATACACATAGTGCGTTAGATAAAATTAGAGAGAGAAAGGATGGAATATTTGGTTTTCCTGTGGACTATGCACTGAGTTACGAAAAATGTAGCATGAAACTGCGGCGATCGACAAATCAACAAGTCAAAGTATAAAGAAACAGTTTAAATGTTCGACGCGTTTCGCGCAAAAAGTATAATATAAAATTATAAGGGAAAAGAGAGGAAATATCTTAGATATGTATAAGTTTTCCAATAAAATATTAATATAAAAATCGAACAAATTGCATATCAACATTATTTTTCCTATTTTTTATCTTTTTAAAAAGAAAATATCAAGAGCTTTTTCACACAGTTACTTCGCTATGTTTTAAATATACGATGTTGTACACTTCAAATTTTATTAGCTTTGTTATATAAAAATGATTATAAATATTAAATTACTCCAATTAAGTAGCTATTTATAGAATCCAATGTTTTCGAACGGAGTTTTCTCTGGCAAACAGAAGCCGGAAGACCTCTTTTCGAACTATTCTTCTCTGACCGGAGTTTAGCTGCGGAATGGCCATTATGTTAACCGCGTCTGTGGTACGTAGTGCAGTGCTGAATGGTCAATATGCGATGACAAATGCGACGTAACCATTCGATGAAACAAAGGAGTTGCCGTCGTAACCGAGCGCGGGGGAGTTCGCAGATGAATTGATTTCCGGCCGATTGGACCGTGTAAACGGTCCTCTATGCGCCACCTTATCGCCGCTTAGATTTCACAGCCGTTAAGGTTTTACGGTCGTCGGTGACCGTAAAACCGGCGCCAGACGACATCAAACGTGTCGTAATTGAAATAACATTTGGCCGTACGGTAAGCAGAATCACGCCAAAGCACTTCGATCCCCGATGGATAAACTCACAAGTCGTGTAATGTTAGACGTCTGGAAATTTAACGACAGCGTGAAAAATTGTAACTTTGTGATCGCACGTTGATTGCAGTGAACGATGTTCGAGTTCTTTTTCTTACAAGATGTTCAGTTGAGAATTTTCACATCATCGACCTTAAGTGTCGAGTTGTGGTATCGTTAAAAATTATACCACACATCAATGTTTGGATATTTTTCATTAGACAACCACAGCGACGTTCGATCAAGTACAGGAAAGTGACATCACGACATTAATTGCCGATTATATCGACTATCAAAGTACTTTGACGGAGAACAGAAGGGGCTGAAAATCGTGAGTGTCCTGGCACGACGCGACACAACCGCCCGCCGCTCACGCCGTAAGGCAAATAAATTATTTCCCCGATAAATCCCCAAGTTTCGCGGAAAGTTTCGGAGAGAGATTACCGTCTTGCTTCCTGCGGAAAGACTCGATTAAGAGTCGGCGGTGGTGAACACGGCTCGCTAAATGATTCATCGTTACCCGAGCGAGGGAGCGGCGCAATATGTCGAGGACAAACACGGAGGCGAAATGAAACGACAACGCCGAATCTCCATCCGTCGCTTTTTTGCATTGCAAATCGTGTCGTAAATTACGGGCATTCGTCTTCGCGCGTCGCGAGCTCTACAAATAGCGGCCGGCGACGAACGTTGTTCCTGCGTCGCTGCAAAAGTTCGTCGAGTGTATAGACATTGTTCGTAATATAAGCGCGCAATCAATGTGCTCTTATTTACGTCGCTGATGACGGCAGATCGTGACTGTAACGATTATTGCGAGGCTAAAAATACAGAGTAGAGACCGCGCAAAAATACTCCAGGCATGCAGAACTTTGTAACAAATGAGCAGCTCGGTGTGCAGCTAGAGTGTTATTTGCATTATTTTTGAAAAACGTCGTTCGAATTACTAATCTGCGATTTTAAGAAGAATTATGAACTGAGAAAAAGTCTCTTTTAAATACAATCAATAATCCACGCAAATTTATAAAATTAAACACGTGATTTTCAGAGAAAAAAATTATATCTTACATTTCAATCTTCTTTTCTACATTGCGGAAAAGTTATACGCGGAATAAGATATAGAGACGAAAGAAAATTCAGGCAGCGTCTCAGGCGGTGCGCGCTTCCAAATTTACGTTTCCTCGGTCACGAAAATTCGGACATCCGCGAAAATCTTCCGCAGGAAGCTGCGAGATCCTGGCGGCGGCCACGAGGATCTACGACAGTGTGCTGTCTTCGTCGGATTAACGCGAGGCGGGAGAAGGGAGAGATGTGCAGGAGTCTGCGGAAGAGGGCACGAAGAGGGGTGGAAGAGGGGCAGGAGGAAGGTGGTACGGAGATGCTGAAGCATCGGGAGGAAAATATTCGAGATTCCAGGGGAACCGCGTGATGACTCAATTTCGCAAAGACCGTTAAATGGCCCGCTATGAACCATGCGCCACCGCCGGCCGCGTTCCTTCTCTGTTTTTGAAGGCCGAACATTCTTCGTAGGGGGTCGGTTATGCCGGCTTAGGTATCTCCAGAGTACGCCATCGACTACAAAGAAGAGCTGGTTTATTTGACTTTTCCTGTCTCGCGTCAGATTGGTCAATGTACGAATCATCGCGTGCTCCGTGCCTCCGACTTTGCTCGGATAGCGTTAAGCGCTTTTGAATATTTCACTCCAATCTGAAAGATTGATCCTCCTAGTTTCATAGTCTTTTAAAATATGAAAATTATCGGTATATTCATCTAATTGATGAATGGCGCAATTATATATAAAATGCCGAATTCGGTGATAATAAAATAATAATGATATAAAATATTCAGTATGTTTGCGTTGCAGTGTTCAAAAATATTTTTTAATCAATTTTAAATTCTTAGTTATAAAAATTAAATTAGTTTGAAAGAGAGAGAGAGAGATAAAATCAATAACAAAATTTTATTTTCTTAATCCTAAGAAATATTTGCCTTTGACACAATTAATTTCCGTGATATAATTTTAATATGCCGCTTTATACAGTCTAATGCCGATAATTAAGTGTTTTCATTCTCGATGTTTGTTATTAGCG